CTTTTTAGAAAAATAAAAATCATTTTAATATAATAATGATTTTCATTTTATTCTACTAATGAATATTGATGTATTTATTGAAATGTTAAAAACTTATAAACTCATGTTTTCTTTTAATTATTAATATAAATTATAATATGATATATTTTTAACACTATTTTTTATATTTTAATTATTACATTACTATAGGTTTGATTCTGGTAGAACTATTAACTTGAATCTGTATTTCCACTGATTTAATGATAAGTGTAATTTTAAAGAAATTAATGATACTAAATAATATATATTGATAACTAAATAGTACAAGTCTTTAAAATATTATTCGTAGAAAAAAAACATTATATATAAGTTCTTTTTTTCTATAATTTTTAAAAAATGATAGTTTGAATATATTTGTATTTTATAATTATAAAAAAATGATATTTAAAAAAATTTATACTGTAACACATTTCGTAGATATTTTGTAGCTAATGTGATTAGGGATGGCAATTAAACCCGTACCCGTGGGGACTGACCCGTCCCGCCCCGAGTTTGATCGGGAAAACCCGAGTTGACCGGGGCGGGTCGGGTTCGATTTTCCCCACTTTAAAAAGTCGGGGCGGGGCGGGGATGGGTAATGCAATCCCCACCCCGACCCCGTCCCGCCCCGACTTTATATTTAAATTTAAATTTTAAAATATTAATATTTTAAAATATTTCTTTTTCTTTTTCTATTACATATAAGATTATTTTTTTATATTTCACCAATTTTTATTTTTCTTCTATCCACTTTTTAATTTTTTTTATCTTTTTCAATATTTTATATCAATTAATTTATTATATTATTCTCTCCCTTATCTTTCAGTTTTTCACATTTTCTTAGTTTCTCCCATCAATTTTTCCAATCTTTTCAACCAATTTAATGAACACAAAGTTAATCTTTTTTTCTTTATCTTTTTCTAAATATTTTACATCAATCTTAGTAGTAACTAATATTAGTTTATTTATAATTTATATTTATTATGTCATATTTTTTTATCTTATTATGCTTATTTATCATATATCAAATTTTATCTTAATAAAATAATTGCATTTTAAAGGATTAAAAGAAATTAATAATTTAAACTTTTATTACTTCAAACTAATTAAATAAGAATTAACTTATTAAATATTTTCTTATAAACTATATATTGACAACTTAAAAATGAATTAACTTATATGTATAATTAAATATTTGAATACAGTATTATAATAATAATGTTATAAATATTCAAATATTTGAATACAGTGTTATAATAATAATAATAATAATAATAATAATGTTATAAATATTAGATATATATATATAATAAAAAATAATTAAATATTTCTTTTACATATATATTTTAATATAAATATAATAAATTAAAATGCATATTTAATTAATAATAACTATAAATTATAAATATTTATTTATATATAAAAATACATAGTAAAATTAATTTATTATAAATATAATTATCTTTTTAAAAATAATATAAATCGGGGACGGGCGGGGCGGGAACCCGAAACCTAGCGGGACGGGGATGGGGACTTAATTCCTAACCCCGGCGGGGATCGGGAGCCGGGACGGGGATGGTTAAAAGTCGGGGCGGGGACGGGGAGGCAAAACCCGCCCCCGCCTCGCCCCGTTGCCATGCCTAAATGTGATTTGTAACCGTTAGTTATAGATTAGTTATGGAATAGTTTGTCGTCAAACTCAAGTAATTAATTAGAGAGATGTATTCTCCTCAAATTTGTAACAAATTTTGTCGTCAGTTTATCGTTAAGTTCCTCATTAATAAGTGATAAAATTTGTCTTCTCCTAGATAATTGATCTCAAAAATTTCTAGCTAAATTCTCACAATTTTTTCTAGCTAATACATAGTTAATCCTTTGCAATTGTTCTGTCACTTATTTATAATTAATCCCTCACAATTTATCTTTAGCTAATTTTTAATTAATCTCTTACAATTCGTTTATCGGTAATTTACAACTAATCCTTGTAATTGTAGTTAATTCCTCGTAATTTGTTTGTCGCTAATCCGTAGTTAAACACTCACAATTTGTGTGTTGCTAATCCTTAGTTAATTTCTCACCATTGTTTTGTTGTTAATTCATAGCTAATATTTCGTAATTTGTCTCTAATTAATCCGTAGATAGATCCTCGCAATTTATCTCTCACTAATTTGTAGTTAATCTTTGCAACTTGTCTGTCATTAATCTATAATTAATCCCTTACAATTTGTCTCTCATTAATATATAGTTAATCCCTCACTAATCTATAGGTAATTCTACTAATTTATCACTATTGGTGTAGTAAAATTTGTCTCTACTTTATAGAAAATTTGTCACAACATTGTAATATCAAATATTTAATATTAAAATAACTACACATATTTTTGAAAAAAAAAACTAAAACTTATCAACTTTCAATATAAATGTATTGTTTAAACATAGTCAAAATGATGTTTTAAACATTTAAAACATAATAAAAATAATGTTTCAACAAAAAAGATTGTATGAACTAAAAAGTTCTAGATAAACACAATTAAAATCTTGAAAACACATTTTCATCCTTGTTTCTTTAAGCCATATAATAAATATTTCTTAAAAGATTGTATTACTTCTTGCATTTATTTTCTACATTTTTACTTGTGTCTTCATTTGTGATTGCATCAATATTTGCATATTAGTTTTGTCTCGCAACTATTTTTTCATATGTTCTTGCAAATTAAATATTTATGTATCTATGGTAGTGATTTCTTTAGTAAGAGGTGTGGTAGGATTTTGAGAAGAGGGACCTTCAACCGATGAAGAAGAAACATAGAAAATAATGTCAAGATTCAAACTCTAATCAATCCCATAAATTCTACTTTTTTATTTTCATCCTCATAGATATTGAAATTTTCATCCTTAAGATAACCCTCAAATTTTCTAATAGATACAACAATTAATATTGTAACAAATTGAAAATAAATTAAGAAATTATGAAGAAATATTATTAAGAAATTTCAATTAAATTGATTCACCTCAAGTGATTCAATGAGTTACAAAAAGAAAAGTGAATAAAACATATATACAAATGCATATGAGAGTGTGATTTCTTTCATTATACATAAACCATTATATTATGAAATTTTTTTTTTCACTTTATAAATACCCATCTTCGACCACTTTTCTTTCATTTTATGATATCTTTTGCTTGATATGCTAAGTGGAGAGAAAGAAACATATACACACGATTGCTAAGAGCTGAAACTTGCTCTCCTGTCCTGAACAAAACTTCTCCATTTTGTTTCTATCCCAGGTTAGTGAGAAAAATACTTAAACATCATCTAAAATCCCTTCTAAATGATTCATAGCTTTTTGGGCCAATCAAACAACTTCCCTTAATTCCAACATTTGGCAACACAACTATAGCTAGATTGTGAACTATTTACGAACAAATGAAACTCTTTGAAGCTAAATGTATACATACATATAGCCAATGATTTAAAAGTTAGGTTGACGCCTTTAGGAGTGCTTCCATTTCTTGCTCTTAACTTTAGATTCTTCCTAACCACTCAAAAATAGTTGAAAGATCAAAGTTAGCTTATGTATTTTTTGAAGTATACTCTTTTTCATGAGGACGATAAGATAATGATATTTTACTTGATTCAGCTTGCAGCGATGACTTTTCCAAACCAATCCATGTTAACATTTGTCAACCCATTTCTTGTGAAATAAATAACATTATAGCTCACAATAATAAGTCAAGCCATGTAAAAAAAAAGTCACTTTGTAAACCAATAGTCCAATAATTATCTTAAATTTACTTTTCAATCAAGATCACACTATAAAATGCCAAAGTAAAATCTTTCTATTAAATTAAAGAAATCATCAAATATTCAAATGATAAAAAGACTATTTAACTAAACATGCATGATCACCTAAAGCCAAACACTACAAGAATTTTACATATTAGTTATGATACATTCCGTAGTTATTTTATAGCTAATATCTTGTTGATACGTTTTGCTACAGATTAGCTATGGAATAACTATGGAATAGTCTGTCGCCAAATCCAAGTAACTAATTAGATAGAAATGTATTCTCTCTCAAATTTGTAGCAAATTTAGTCATCAACCTGTTGCTAAGTCCCTCGCTAATTTAAGTGATGAAATTTTGTCTTTCCCTATATATTTGATCTCCCAAATTTCTAGTTAAGTTGTAGCTAATCTTTCTTAATTGTTTTGTCGCTAATTCGTAGCTAATCCCTCTCAATTTTTCTATCGCTAATTTGTAGTTAATCCCTGACAATTTATCTTTAATTGATTTGTAGTTAATTCCTCGCAATAATTCCCTTTAGCTTATCCGTGGTTAGTTCCTCGCTAATCTTTCGCAATATTTCTCTTGCTAATCCATAACTAATCCCTCACAATTATATGTCGCTCATATGTATCAAAGTTCGTCTCTCACTAATTAATAGGTAATCACACACAAGTTTTTCTCTCACTAATCTCTCGCAATTTTATGTGCAAGTAATTTGTTTATTATTATTATTATTATTAGCGCAGTAGGTATTCCTACTAAAGTATCATCATAACATTATAATATCAAATGTTTAATATTTAAATTATTAATTACTCATATTCTTGAAAAAAAGAAAATAAACTTATCAAATTTCAATATAAAAGTATTGTTTAAACATAGTCAAAATGATGTTTCAAACAATCAAAACATAACAAAAATAATATTTTAACTAAAAAGTTTTGTATCAACTAAAAAGTTTTATATCAACACAATTAAAAATAGAAATAAAGTTTTGATTCTTTAAAGTATATTCTTCTTGCATTTGGGTCCTCTTGCACCTCTTCTACTTTGGGATTTAATCTAACATAAACAATATCCATAACTATATCAACATATGAACTTCTATTATCCTCATTATGTTCTTGAAAGACAGAAATTGATACATCATCAGTGCATTTTCCTTACCATGAAGGATCCAATTTGTCATCTCATCTTGTCATTTGTTTAAAGGCTAACCCAAATGACAAAATCCAATTGTTCTTGGATATCTTCTTCACATTCACACGGTATTGATGAGATGGAAGAACATTATTATGACTCAGACCTACTGAAGACTTGTCATCAAGATCTAGCTCCAACTCTTGTCCAATTGATCCAAAGACCTGCAAAATACCATTGAGAAAAAAAAACATATTAGTTTGTAGAAATGCAACACACTCAAACAAAACCAATTCCACTTGACAGAGTTGAGATATTATTGCATGGAATCTATAATCTAACAAAATTTAATTTTGATGTCTACAATTACTCGGAACCTATAATCATTTTATTAAAGGGGCAAGTCTTTATCCATTGTGTTGTCTTGTGACTGTGAATTGGTTTGGTATCCACAAAAGGCACAAGTTGGTCGTAGAAACTAGCAGACAACGCATCAAAAGGAGCAGTAAGCATGACAAATGGTTCCAAAAAGCTTCTTAGAAACAGTAACTGAAGATACCCTTGCAAGAGAGAGAAGCACTGAACTCTCTCCCTCTCTATCTCTCACATACAAGATAAATAAGTAACAAGAGAGAGAAATCACACCAAGCTAGTACATACTAGTTACTACTACAACGTTAATGCACATGATTACCATACTAAACCAAAGCCATGCTCTTCAAGAATTTCTAAATAATTTTTTTAAGAAAAAATTTCAATTAATTTTTGTTGATATTTTTTCAAAAAGATCAAAATTATTTTTTATAATTATATATTTTTAAAGAAATTTACAAGTATTTTGTTGTAAATAATTTTTTGCAACAAAATACAAAAAATAAATAATTTTTAGTAGAAAGCTAACTTGTATTTGCAAGAGATATGTAAAGAAATCTCTAACAAATTTGCATTGAAACGGTAAGAGAATAGTTCCCAACAACTTAATATTCTTTTCAATTTAATATTTGATATAAATTTGCTACAGTTTAACTATTATTGTATGTTACACAATTTAGTTAGGAAATAGCTCCAGAAAATAACATAACTAATATTTATAGCAGGGATTAGTGACAAAAATTTTTCTAACTAAATTATTTTTTTACTAAGTGAGAGAATAACTACAAAAATATTAGTTTTCTAGCTATTTTGTTATAGATTAACTACAATCTTGTTTTTTCACTATTTCATCACTAATTATTTATAAATTAGTGAAAAATAAATTTTGTAGCAAATCTTCGTAGTTAATTATCAAATTTCTTTTGGTGAAAATTCACTAGCAATCAATTTCAAAAACTTTTCTCACACAACAATCAACACAATTTTTTAAAAGAGTCACAATGTAGAAATAAAATTATACAAAATATAGAAGAACTCACTAAAAAGGAGTAAAAACACAGTTATTAAGTGTCAACCAACACAGGTGTGGTAATGACAATAACAACAACAATAATGGCAACGACGAAGTAGCGACCATAGCATTGTAACAATGACAACAACTTCTAGGTTTTTAATTTGGGGATGTTGAAAATGAAAAGATATTTTGAAAAAAAAGGGAAGAATAAATCTATGTTTTTTATTAAAAAAAGTTATAAAACCTCTATAATTTAAAAATAAATTATCTTTATTATTAAACTAAAGATGTTTATATTTAAAATAATGTTTAATTAAATATATATTTAAATATGATAATTAATTTCATTTTATTTCTTGTAAAGAATAATTTGTAAAAAAAAATATAAATAAAATTTTCTTATATATATATTATAAATTTACCTAGAGGCTCCCCTTTATACATTTTTATTATTTATCTAAGACCCCCAACTATTATCAAATTAACAAATTAAAAGAATTGTCCTAACAAGATTTGAACTCGAGTACCTTAAAATTAGAGACTAATACTCCAACCACTAAGCTACTACGATTTTCTAATAATAATTTACAAATAAATTATATTTATACACAAGTAAATATATATTTATATATTTATATATTTATATATTTATATATTTATATATTTATATATTTATATATTTATATATTTATATATTTATATATTTATATATTTATATATTTATATATTTTAAATATTTAATATACTGACGGATATATATATCCGATCAGGTAATCACTCGTATTCATTTTCACGACGACTACATATCAGTCGAGTAATTATCCGTCAATAATTAATGATTTTCTTATAGTGATATTTGCGATGAATTTACTAGCAATAATAGTATGATACACAATTTAGCTAGGAAATAGTTTTAGAAATGTAACAATTAAAACTAAATTTGTTTATTTGAATTACTCTGTTGTTCATGACAAGGGATTAGTTAAAAAAATATCCTAACTAAAATATTTTTCTGTTAAGTGGGAGAATAATTATAAAAATATTAGTTTTCTAACTATTTTACTATTGACTAACTACAACTTTATTTTTCAATATTTCATCAATAATTAGCGATCGATTAGTGAAAAATAATTATTGTGACAAATTTTCCTAACTAATTGTCAAATTTCTTATGGTGTGATAGTATAAATATATGTATAAAGAAAATTATAAGGTAATTGTGGAAGAATAAATTTGAAACTATAAAACATAAATTTGTATAAGAAAATAAAAAAGGACAAATATATATTTATGATGAAGTAATTATGTTCCTTCAATTTAAACTTTTGTATCAATATTTTTTTTATAGCATTAGGTTCAAATTTATTAAAAGTATTTGCATTTTGTTTAGTCATATTTCATAAATATATGTTTTTTTTCTTCTAATTTTACTATGTTTATTGTGATCATGTTCTCTTACATTGAAATACTATACAGTGATTCAATATAATCATCTGGAAAGCAAAATGCAGTGTCTTGTCGCATTAGCAACAGGAATTGTGTCAAAACTTGGAGAATCATTGGTTACACCAATTGCAAATCAAATTGGATATCTAGTTTACTACAACAAAAATATAAAAATCCTTAAAAATGAACTCAAAACGTTGGAAGGTAGGAAACAAGGAGTTGAAGGGGTGGTTGATGAAGGTAAAAGAAATGGACGTCAAATTGTATCTGATGTAGAAGATTGACTCTACAATGTGGAAAGTATCATAAATGAAGTAGAAGAATGTGGTGATTTTCAAGTAGAAAATTATAAGTGTCTTGATATATGGTCTTCAAATTTGATGTCACACTATTCATTAAGCAAGAGAGCCAAAAAATTGACCATGAATGTTACAAGATTAAATCAAGAGAAATTTGATATCATATCTTACTCTACACCTACACCGAGACTTGGATCTACGTTCTCAAATGTTATCAAAAGTTTTCCAAGCAGAAATCCAATAATGACAGAGGTATTGGAGAAATTAAAAGATGAGGACTTCAAAAGAGTAGGCATTTGTGGAATGGGTGGAGTGGGAAAGACAACATTTGTGAAAGAAGTAATCAAAATTGTAGATGTATGGAAGTTATTTGATGAAGTTGTAATGGCAGTGGTTTCCCAAAATCTTGATTATATGAAAATTCAAGGACAAATTGCTGATGTTTTAAGCTTGAAATTTGATAAGGAGACACTCCAAGGAAGAGCTTATCAACTGCATGAAAGATTAAAAGGTATCAACAATGTCCTAATAATTTTTGATGATGTTTGGATAGACTTTGATTTTGAGTCTATTGGGATTCCTTCTCATGTGCATCACAAGAATTGTAAAATTTTATTGACATCAAGAATTGAAGATGTTTGTTATAAGATGGGATGTCAAAAGAATTTCGTAATTTCTATCTTGTCTCCGGATGAAAGTTGGGATCTTTTTAAAGATATGGTAGGTGGAAATGTTTCAACCAAGCTTGATATTCATCACATTGCAAAAGAGGTTGCAAATGAATGTGGGGGTTTGCCAATTGCCATTGTAACAATGGCAAAAGCATTAGCAAATAAAGAAAAATATGAATGGGAGGATGCATTGGATCAATTAAAAAAATCTTTTATGACTTCCCTTTCAGAAATGCAAGCATGTGTATATTCAAGTATTAAGTTGAGTTACAATTTTTTAGATAATGAGGAAGACAAAAATTTTCTTTTCCTTTGTTGCTTATTTCCAGAAGATTTTGACATTCCTATAGAAGTTCTACTCTGACATGGAATGAGTTTGAGATTGTTTAAAGACATTAATGAATTGTGGAAAGTTAGAAATCGAGTACATACCATTGTTGATAGACTTAAAAGACGTTTCATGTTGTTAGATAGTAATGTGGATGAATGTGTCAAAATGCATGATGTTGTTCGAGATGTTATCATATCAATTGCATCTTCGAAAGAATGTGGTTTTATGGTACAATGTGATGGATCTCAAATGCAACAATTTAAAGAAGAAATGTGGTGTAATGACACTACGATTTCACTTATCTTTGAAGAAATGAAGGAACACATTAAAGTGTTAAATTGTCAAAAGCTTAAGCTTTTACAAGTAACATCAAAGCAAAGGGATTTAGTTCCAGAAAATTTCTTCCAATGTGTGAATAATCTCAAGGTGCTAAGTCTACAAAACATGGACATTCAGTCATTGTCTTCTGTATTTCAAACTTTAGACAATATTCATACTCTACTATTAGAAGATTGTCATGTTGGAGACATATCTATTATTGGTAAGAAACTCAAAAGACTTGAGATTCTAAGTTTTTCTAACTCAAATATCAAACAATTGCCAGAAGAAATTGGGCAACTAAGCTTACTGAGATTATTAGATTTAACTGAATGTAATTATCTCATTCGAATATCTGCTAATGTCTTAGCAAGGTTATCTAGATTAGAAGAACTCTATCTCAGAGTAAGAAATCTTCCTTCAGATGAAACTGGTCATATTTTGTCTGAGTTGCAATCTTTATCTCATCATCTAAAAGTTGTAGAGATTGCAATTTTGATAAATGAAGATGCACCCAAAGATTTGGTTTTTAAAAATATAATAAGATTTTGGGTCTACGTGGGAGATTCATCTACTCTTTTTGATGGCATTGTTCGAAAAGGATATTTTCACCCAAATATTTTGAAAGTAAATAATGCATATTACCGCTATATCAAGAGGAGTGTGACAATTCAATATTTACTTCAAAAAGTTGAAATTCTCAACTTAGTTGATATCAAGAACATGAAAAATGTCATATTGGAATTAAGTGAAAGGGGTTTTCCACTTTTGAAACATCTAAGCATTGAGTTTTGCAGCAACCTTGAATATGTTGTAGATACATTGGATGGTTGTATCTTTCCTCAACTTTTATCATTTTCTTTACGAAATTTGGATAATTTAAAAGAGATACTGAATGTAGCTGGTCACATGAGTCAAAATGACTTTGCCAAGGTTCACTCCACCATTATATCTCAGTGCTTTGGAACCCTTACAAATCTAAAAATAGAATATTGTAACAAGTTGAAGAATGTCTTCACATTGTTTCCAAGGAAAATTGATTTGACTACACTTCAATGTTTGCATGTGGCTGAAAGTTATGCAATTGAATGCATCATCTCAAGCAATAGTAAGTATGATGAAAAATTAATGATTGAGTTTTCAAATTTAGTGGAGTTGAAGTTACTGGAACTTCCCAGCCTGATCGGATTTTTTAAAGCCAATGTTATACATGAGCATAGCTCCTCAATGATCCAAGTAAGTTTAATCTCTCTCTCTCTCTCTATCTATATATATATATATATATATATATATATATATATATATATATTAATTTAAGAGTAACAATTAGATACTTCCTTTTTATTTTTATCAATTTTTGTAATCTAAAATAATAGCCCATTACAATAATTAGATTAAGAAAAAATAAATATGAAAATAAAAAAATGTCTATCTCTTATTCTTATAATGATATGATTATTCTTAGAATAAATTTCTATCTCTTCTCTCCTTTGTTTATTTAGTTTTTATATATATATATATATATATATATATATATATATATGATTACTTAACTTTAATAATGTTTAGACGAGATTAATTATAAGATATTATCATTTAAAGGATGATTATTATAAGGATAAAATAATTTAAAACCATTTTACCCTAATATCATCTTAGCTATTTGTAATATTTTATTTCTAGTAATGTTAATATAAACAGGTTATGTTTCTTCTTCTTTTAAAATGTCTTTGCTAACTTATTTTAAGTAATAAAAAGTATTTAATAGAAAACTTATAGCATTTAAAAAAAATGTAAAAAGCTTTGTTGGCTTGTAAATCAATGCAAAAGTACCAACACTAATTACTAGTCTTTTTTTTCATATCCCTAATCATAAAAATTATTAATTGTCTTTTCAGTTTGTAATTAAAAGAGTTTTTCTATTAAAATTAAAAATTGTGAAATCATACCATAGATCTAATTTTGTATTACAACAACACAAATATTAAACACAAGAGAACAATAATAATCAATAACCATTAATTGAATAAAAATAAACTTAGTTACTACATGATAGTAGATTAAATTACATTAAACCTCCAAGAAAAGAAAAAATTAAACTACTTGTCCCCATGAAAAAAAACACCGTAAAGAATTGAAAGAAAAAAAAATCAAAACTAAAAACGACAAAGAAAGTTAAATGTGAAATGTGATCACTATTTGATCTAACTATACAAAAATAAATGCAATTCAAAATAGAAGTTAAGACTTTATGCAAATTTATTCAAATATCCACTACACCAACTCTAGTAGGTTGTAATTCAAATATATAATTATAACTTTATCATTGACAAACTATTTTAGTAGTGAGTATGCCATAAAAAGAATAATCTTCTGATAAAAATTAAAATATTATAATTTTTGGCTACATATGTATATTTTATACACTTCAAATGCCTAATTAAATGATTTATTTTTCAGATTCATGAATCCAGTGATCAAATAATTGAGAATGCAGTAATTGAAGATGGCCAAATGTCTAGTTCAAAATCAAGTGTTCATCATCAACCTATGCCCACTGGCACTCTTTTCAAATCAAACTGGATGCAATTGTTTCCAAAATTGGAAAAACTCTTCTTACATGCATGTTCTTCATTAGATATGGTGTTTGATATGCAAAAATCACAATTTCATGGTGAGTCACTGGCTTTCTTATTTGCTCAGTTGAAAGAAATAGAGATATCTTGGCTTAGTAAGTTAAGACACATTTGGGGTAATGCTCCAAGCTACATTCAAGGCTTTCAGAATTTGAAATCAATCAAAGTTAAGAAATGTGATTCTTTGGGGTTTCTTCTCACTCCCAACATTGCAAGGGCACTTACTCAACTTCAGAAAATGGTGATACATAGCTGCCACTCCATGGAGAAAATTGTTGGAAAAGAAGCAAACCTAAATGGTGAAGATGATGAAGAAAAGAATGTGGAAACCCTTGTCTTTGGTCAATTGGAATCTTTAACACTTATTGATCTCCCAAACCTTATGAGTATTTGTCCAGATTCCTATGAAATAATGTGGCCATCTTTGAGATTTTTATGCATTGATGGATGTCCTCAGCTTAAGACATCTGCCACTGTGGCAAGGCAAGAGAATTTCAATGCCTCATCAAGTGCTTCAAGAACATGTGATAATGCAAATAGTACTTCTAAAGAGGATTCACCAAGGTTTCTTCAGTGTTGCCTTGGATGCACCCCACATGTATTTTCCAACTTGAAGTCCAAGGTAATATATCAAAGTAATTTACCTTTTGAATTCCTTACAAACCCATATAAACAATTTTAAACTTTTGCATTTAACAGTTGTTTTGTGTTTTATTTTCTACCTATGGTCAAATTTCTGTCTAAGTCCAGAGAACTATGCATGCATGAAATCAAATCTCAATGTTCTATGGAATTAAAATAGGATTGAAAGTTATGCCATTTTTAATTCTACTGTTGTTACTCTACTTTGTTTTTAAGACAAATTCTTTAAGAGTTTGAATCAAATTTAAACAATGAAATGGAAAATATATATCACTTTCTCAGAGTCAATCCTTGAATAAAGGCAAGGCAATGTGCAAACTTGTTATATTCTTCCTAGAAAGCTACAATGTTGCAAAAGTAAAACTATTGTGTTAAGCATCGCTTGGACCACTAAGTAATCAATGTTGAAATTTACTTAATTAGATACATATAAGGCTAATATAAATGTATCAGAATATATTTCTATGGAACTCTTCTCTATTTCTGATTATGGTGTATGTTCATACTATACTGATGTTGCTTGTATTTTTCCCTATTCTCTATTTTCATCATATAAACATTCATGTACAATATTTTCAGGTGGCATATATATTAATTTGCCATATTAAGATCATGAAAACATAATTTGGTACGTGTAGTACTCAGAAATAGAAAGTAAATGCAGCTTATGACAAAACCACCCTTAGCCTTTTCTTCTACACAAATTTTGGTTCAACACATAATGTACAGAGGTGTCTAGAACTAAAATTCACCAAAGCCACAAAATCATGGTTCTTTCATATTACTATTAGATAATATAAAACTTAGGTACACATCTTTAAGATTTTTGTTTTTCTTTTCTCTAATCAGAACTAGAGTTTTTTCACTAATTTGCATGATAAAATATTAAAAGTTACCATAAGTAACTAAAATAAAACTCTAATTCAAATGGAAGAACAAAAGAACTTAAATATAAGTCTTTTTCTAGTAGTACTTGAGGGACAGTTGACTTACTATTCATAATGGATTTGCAGGCTTCATTAACAGAGAAAGATGTTCCTTCTGTCAGCAACATACATTCCAAAGCAGAAACAACATCCCCCATTCCAATTTTGGAGAAAATGCAAGTAAAAGGATGGGATTCACTAGAAGTCTTATTCCTTCTTAAACAAAACCAACTTTCTGATGATACTAATGCCAATTGTCTGGTGAAGCTGGTACTTGCAGAAGCACCTACAAGTCCCGTAGAAATAACTGCATTCAACAACCTCACTATGTTAACTATAGATTCTTGTCACAAGTTGAGATATCTATTACCTTATTCCATAGCAAAGCTCCTTGTGAAATTGCAAAAAATAAAAATGTCAAACTGTAGAGTGGTAAAACAACTAGTCCAAAGAGAAGGAGAAGATAGTTTAACTCTATCTCTTGCTCAATCAAATTCTCTCAATCTACATGAAATTTCCTCATCTAGTGAATATGCCACCTCTTCCCAAGAGGCATGTGCCTTAGAGTGGCCATCTTTGAAGAGAATTAGCATATCTCACTGTGGTGTGCTAGAAGTTGTTATTGGTAAAGTCGGGGAGAAAATAGATACCATGATTGCTTCATTTGCTCAACTACAGTCTCTTTCATTGAGCCATTTACCAAATGTTGTAAGCTTTTGTCTCACATCTTGTGCATCAGAACCACCATCCATTGAGAACATGCATGGGAGTGGCTATGAAAACCATGAGGTACGTAAAACATTGCTGCTAAATTTACTTTTGCAGTAACAATCATGCATAGCTAAAATGCACGAGTCCATTTGAGTGTATATGTGACAAACTTTAAATTCTTCGGCTTAATTTTACTCTTCGAATTCGTTTAATTCGGACTCTAAAAACTTTGGTTACTTAAATATTTTGAGTCAATAAGTTATTGCATTTCTTAAAAATTAAGAAATTTTGGACCAAAAAATTGTCATTATTATTCAATTTAAGTATTTTAATTTTATGAAATTGATCATAAATTTGGGATATAAAATGTTTTAAAAATTAGGATTTTTTTTAATAATGTTTAAAAGGACGTCATAAAACACAAAATTAGGATTAAGAGAGAAAACTTATGAAAAAAAAATTAAGATAAAATTCTGGACTTTATATTTTAAATTTCAATTCAATCCTTCAAGTTTAATACATTTTATATAAGATGGTAAAACAGGTTAAAGGACTTGTTGGCGGGTGATCACTTTTTGTCAATATTTTTTACATAAAGTTTTATATATTTTTCTTCAATACACTATGAATCATTTTTAAGTTTTTATTTATTAATTAATATTTTTATTAGATAAATTAATAAAATTGATGGGTTAAACAAGACAGATTAAAATAGACTGACGGTATGATAAGTTGGCATATCAAATCTAATTCATTTTTTCATCCCTAATTTTATATAATCTTTCCAAGTCTTTGCATTAAATTAAATAAAATTGGTTATTAAGAAGGATATCATAATATAATATATCAACATTAGTTATATTAATCAAAATTATTGTTACTAAAAACAAAAACTAACGAAAATATCAATTTAGTTCCGCAGAGATACTTTGAATAACCAAATAAAAATTGAAGAGATCAAATGAAATAAAAATAAAAATTATGATGAAACCAAAATTTTACTTTAGCTAAAAAAATATATTTTTGGTGAAATTTGATGCGTTGGTATATATAACTAATCAATATGTATGATTCCAGTGTGATTGACATATTTTGGAATGTATAAGTACTAAACTTACCGTGTGTATGGGGTAATGTAATTATAATTTAAGGAACGTTTCTTTCTAATCCATCAAAGTTATTACTTCCACATTCTTTTCACTGAGATGTGTAACTTGATGCTTGAAGTTCCTAAAATAGGAATTTAAACACACTTTTATAAATTAGCTATTACATAAGTTTTTGTTGTTAGATTTGATTTTAATTAAATATTTTAAATTTTATAAAATATAATTAAGATATAAAAGAGTATTTCTCTTTAACTTAGTAAAGGTATCGGTATATTTAGTAGGAAAAGAATAGTGGAAGGACTAACTTTTAATATTAGAGAATTTAATTAGCTAAACAAATATCAAGAGACTAAAATTGAAAAAAAGTTTAAACAAAAGGTACTAAATGTATAATTACATTGAATCTTTTTATGTAAACCTCAAAATGGTATATGCAATATAACCACTCTAACATATGTATAGAGTGTTTTTATAAAAGTAGTAGTAGTTCAGAGTTTTCAAAACACAACTAGGAAGTAACATTCTATATCATTCATGTTCAATAAACATTTTCCCACTTTCAACTATCGATGGGCTTGCAACAAAGTTATGATATTTGGTCCAATCACATTTTGATTTCACTTTTTATCCTTATTATGCAGGGAACAAGTACTGAAGAAATCAGAATTATGAGACTTGATGCACTTATAAATGGCTTCATTTTTCCCAATCTGACATATATAGCAATAACTAGCTGCAACAAAGTTAGTTGTTTGTTCTCTCCTTCAACATCAACTAGCTTAGTGCGTTTGGTTGAGTTAGATATATGTGGGTGTAGGGAGATAGAGGAAATAGTGTCTACAGAAGAAACACAAGGAAATATGATTAACATTGTGTTCCACAGCTTGCAGCGTCTAAAACTTGAAAACCTACCAAAACTGAAGGCCTTCTGCCAGGGTTCCTATGGCTTTCATTTTCCATCATTGCATGAAGTATTGGTGAAAAGTTGCCACATGATGGAGACATTCTCTTATGAGTCTCCATACAGTCCAAAGTTGGAAGGAGTCATAATGGAAATTGGAAGCATAATGAAGAACATGTGGATGGGAGGTCTAAATGCTACTGTAGCACTTTGCAAAGGACTTGTATGTAACATTCTCATTCCCTGTCTATGTGTGTGTTTGTGAGTATAATACCATTACTGAATTAAAAAGACTAAGCAATTCTAGAAAGATGCAGTCTTATATGTTAGTCACTTGAAATTTAAAGTTGAAGAGATAAGGTTGGTACCCAATAAAGTTGCAAATAATAGGTTGACACAACATGGTTAGGAATGTAGGTTGATGATTTGAATAAATTTTGAGTTGACTCATTTAATCTATTAATCATTTTTTATAGACGCAAATCTGATTAATCCATTCATTTAAAATCATATTATTTAGTAAAAAAACAAAAAAACTATTTCTACCTTCCAATATCCATCTAAGTTGTACAAAAAAACGTTGAAAATAACTGAGAGTTAACATTAGACCATTTATTGTATGTATAGTGCATGTATATTATAACACAACAATTCCACATCAAATATCTTAGATTCACAGGATATAATCTCTAGTAAAAAAACTTCATAATAAAATTGTCTAACTATCTTTTGAATTTATAACCACGACCCATTGTTTCATTTAATCATGAATGTGCTTTTCAGTTGGCTTTTCAAACATCGGAGACACTTGAATGGATCAAGCAGGACCAATGCATACAGAGATACTTCACAGAAGAACAACAGTTGACAGTTGAAGGTTTTCAAAGGCTTCTAAAACTAGTTCCCTCCAATGTGATACACATATTTCAAAATCTAAAGGAACTCACTATAAAAAATTGTGGTTCACTAGTTGAGGTCTTTGAATCACATGGTGTGGATGCAAAGGAAATGCATTCCATGATACACTACAAGCTAGAAGCATTGAATTTGTATTTTCTACCAAAATTGACCCACCTATGGAAAAACTATGGTGGAGTTCTGGGATTCCAGAAGCTAAGAATACTAAAAGTGCAACACTGTGGCAACTTGAGTAGTTTGTTCTCTCCATCAATAGCCAGAAGTCTAGTGCAACTTAGGCACCTACGAGTTCATAGTTGCCACATGATGGAGGAAATAACTACTAAGGAAGATGAGGAAACAGAAGGATCAAATAATGCTATGATTGTATTTCCACTTTTGAGCAAGCTGGAGCTTCGTTATGTCCCCAACCTCAAATGTTTCTGCTCAGGAACTTTCAATATTGATCTTCCATCTTGTGAAGAAATGATAATTGAAAAATGTCCCAAGATGACTACCTTTTGCTATGGATATGTAACCACAGCAAAGCTTCTCCATATATATAAAGGTTCCTATGAGTATGTTGACATAATGAAAGACCTTAATATGACCATCTATCATGCTAATCGGAGTTTTAAGGTACAGACATTCTCCATATGTAATCACATCAAATTATGTGATTACTAATAGAAAAGGAAAAGGATATTATAAGAATTTTGCTTTTCTTTCAGATTTACTACCCCCCCCCCCCAAAAAAAAAATTATCAAATGAAGCATTAGTTAACGAGCAGCATATACATTGCAGGTTGCGCTACAAACATCAGAGGCAATCACATGCATTGAGCATAGCCAACACCTGCTGCTGCCTTACTTAAGAAGTGATACAGAATTGGTTGTTGAAGGTAGTGAAAAACTATTGCATTGTATTCCATCCAACATGCTGCATAGGTTCCAGCATCTAAAACAAGTCAAGGTACATGATTGTGGTTCACTAGTTGAGATATTTGAATCAGAGGGAGTGGATGAAAATGGAGATGAAGGGTGTACCAAAACACCGTACAATTTTGATCTGCAGGAACTGCATCTGTATGATCTTCCTAAACTGATGCATATATGGAAAAATCATGGTGGAATCCTGCGCTTTATGAACCTTAAAAGGCTAAAGATTCGGCACTGTCATAGTTTGAAAAATGTGCTTTCTCTTTCCATGGCCAGAACCCTCTCACAACTCCAAGAGCTTTCAGTACATGAATGTGAGATGATAGAAGAGATCATCACTAGAGAGGAGGAAAAACTATCTGAAGAGCCAAACAAAGTCAAGATTACATTCCCAGCATTGCAATGGCTAACACTTTATCGCCTTCCAAGTCTTAGATGCTTCTGTTCAAGCACTTACCATTTTGAGCTGCCATCCTGCCATGACATAACCATTACAGAATGTCCTAAGATGGAGGCTTGCCATGGAAACAAAGGCACCTCAGAACTTCCTTTTGTCTCAACTAAGACAAATGATTTCAGAGCTGAAGAGAGTTCTTTTTAAGAATGGAAATTCACTCTGAAAGTTGCCTGAACCATATAATTTCAAATTCACTATCTAAATGACGTGTAGTAACATTAGGGGTGCTCACACCCTCAATGGAGACTTGTGCTCATTGCTTTTATTACTATGAACTTGTTCCAGATTATTGCTCTTCATTTCTACTTGAGATATTTTTTGTTGTAGTTGACATTCTACTTAAGATATGATCCACCTAGAAAGAACCCCCAAGTAAATAAACAACAGCAGAACCGCTAATTTGATGCAAGTATGCCAATATATTTGTAAGTAGAATCTAGTTAAACTGCACTTGGTATACACTGGCACTTGTATACAGATGACAATTATACCCGTGGGATCGATCTGCTCCTGCCCCAAGTTTGACGGAGAAAATCGGAGTTGACCGAGCGGGAACAGGTTCGGTTTTCTCCGCTTTAAAAAGTCGGGGGCGGGGATGGGTAATGAAATCCCCATCCCCACCTCGACCTTGTCTCACGCCCGACTTTATATTTAAATTTAAATTTTAAAATATTAATATTTTAAAAATATTTTCTTTTCTTTTTCTATTACATATAAGATCATTTTTTTATATTTCACCTTTTTTTTCTTCTACCTATTCTTTAATTTTTTTTGTCTTTTTTAATCTTTTATATCAATTAATTTATTACATTATTCCTTCTCTTACTTTTTAGTTTTTCACATTTCCTTAATCTCTCCCATCAATTTGTTTTTTTTTCAACCAATTTGATGAACACAAAGTAAATTTTTTTATTCTTTGTCTTTTTTAAATATTTTACATAAATCTTAGTAGTAACTAATATTATTTTATTTATAATTTATATTAGGTTTTATTATGTCATATTTTTTTATCTTATTATTCTTATTTATCATATATCAAATTTTATCTTAATAAAATAATTGTATTTTAAAGGATTAAAGGAATTAATAATTTAAACTTTTATTACTTCGAACTAATTGAATAAGAATTAACTTATTAAATATTTTCTTATAAACTATATATTTCATATTTTTAAATGATAACTTAAAAATGAATTAACTTATATATATAATCAAATGTTTGAATACGAGTACTATAATAATAATGTTATAAATATTCAAATATTTAAATACAAGTGTTATAATAATAATAATGTTATAAATAAAAAATGATTAAATATTTCTTTTACATACATATTTTAATATAAATATAATAAATTAAAATGTATATTTAATTAATAATAATTATAAATTATAAATATTTATTTATATATAAAAAATAGATAGAAAAAATAATTTATTATAAATGTATTTATCTTTTTAAAAATAATATAGATCGGGACGAGCGGGACGGGCGAGGGCGAGGCGGGAACCGAAACCCAGCTGAAACGAGGATGGAGACTTAATTTCTAACCGCGGGAATCGGGGACGGGAATGGTTAAAAAGTTGGGTCCACCGGGCAGGCAAAACCCGCCCTGTTGCCATGCCTACACTCGTAAGGTTGTAGTTTTTCATAGGTTAGAAGTTGAACATACGTGTGCACAAACATAAATAAAAAAATTGTTTCCCAACCCATTCCGAGCATGAGTGAGGCTCTTGCTTCCTTGATCCCATAATTCCTTCCTCCACGGTCATTCTTTTAAAAGATAAAATTATCCCTAAAAATTTTAGGGATTGCGATAAAATAAGTTCTCTAATAGTATTTTGAAAACCCGAAATTTAAAAATATATTTGTTAAGTGATAAAAGTTGATGTAATTATGTTTTTAACTGTGATATAACCACTTAAATTATTGTGATTCTAATCTATTTTTTTTTCAATATAGGATGAATTTGCATAATACATGGATATAAGAGCAAATATCATAATTGTGAAGTAATTAAAAAAAAAAGAACGTTTGAAAGAATGAATGATGCAAGGCCCGACCCAAATTTTCTTATATAAAGATAAGACGTGTTTTGAGATGTAATTTTAGGTTTTTGGAGAAGAGACGCGACTGTTGTTCTGTTCTTCAAGGATTCTTCAATTCTTCCTCATTTAGAGCATTGTAATGGTTACCCTGAGTGACTAACTTCATTCTCTTAGGATTAGGTGCACTTCCTTGAAACTCTTTTGTATTATGGTGATATTTTGAGATATTAATCTATGTTTTGATATTGTTATTTTTATCTTTTATGCTTTTGAATTATTTATTCTTGATGTTTGGGATATGATTGGAAAATATATCTTGAAACCCTAGACCAGGTAAGAATATTTGTTGTGTTAATTGTAGGAATGGAATGAATGTATAAGTGCTTAACACCCTAAATCTAATGCTGGAAAATCTTTTAACTGTGTGAGGAATCGACATTTATCAGGTTTTATTATGAATTTCACATGCAAGGAATGGAATGAATGTATCAAGTGCTTAACACCCTAAATCTAATGCTGGAAAATCTTTTAACTGTGTGAGGAATAGACATTTATCAGGTTTTTTTATGAATTTCACATGTGAGGAATCAAAGTGAATGATTTGAGTAGGTGACATCAACATTGTTAGGTTAATTGATGTTCTTAATTTGACTTAGTCATTATGCAAAAGAGGGAAAAGAAAAAAAGTCAATCCTAAATTCTTTAATTTGATATTTTATACATATCATTTTATTTAATATTCTTAATAAACATATGATTTAAAATTTTTATTAAAATCGTTTTTCGTGTTATCAATTTTTATTTAATCAAAATACTATATTGAGTTGATAATTTTGGTTTCAAATAGATATTCAACAATATCCCACAATTTTTCATGAGGAATATTATAAAAAAATATAGGCTCTGACATAGACAATTAAAAATACTATAGAAAAATATAGATTCCGGAATAGATTCAAAAATAAACTAGTCCGGAATTGGGATCTAATGCACAGGTACAATCACAACTATACTCGTTGATGAATTTATGCAGCCAGGGATATGTTTTCATGGAAGTTATCAAATATCGGATCCTTCCTTTTTTTATTTTCGTGAAAAATATTTGCAGTTGGTTCTACTGGAGCTAATTAACTTCTTAACTTTTTTTTTGTGTGTGGAGCCTATAGCCAATGCTGAATACCAAACAAACAGCAGACAAGAATATGACTACAACACACAAATACATATAAATACAAACCTTGTGTCTTCACACACTTCTATGACCAGTAAAAGTCAAGAACTACCTCGATTTTAGCATAACAATAAATGCATTACGTTTGCTGAACAATCATTTAATTTATATTAGTGTAACAATTAAATTTCGGATTAAACAATCTAATACATGTGTATATAATCTTATATATTTTTTATTCCAGAACTTATATTATATATATATATATTGTTTATTCTGAAAATTTAAAAAAAAAATGTCCTTTGGATTATTTATTTCGGAATAATTTTATACATTCCTAGATTAACAATTCCATAAAACTCACAGGAGTAGTATTGTCCTTCAAAAATATGGAAGTGGAAAATTATGAAGGTACAGGAAGCAAGTGCTCATAAGTAATGCATGTGTAAGTGCCCTACTTTATTTTTGCAAAATCTCAATTCTCCGGATCCATTTCTAATGAGTTTGAGCTAAACAGCAGAAATCATGTCCTAAGTATAACTCTGGCAGAACAGAAAGATTACTAGGCAAGCCAAAAATAAAAATTTTATTACGCAAGAGATACCATCTCAAGTAAATAAGGTATACTGATACAACAAAATAACCTCACATCGTTTTCAGTGGTATACATATGTTTAGAAAAGAATAGTTTCAATTCTCATGATTTGGGAAAAAGAAGGACATGTGAATCTGTAATTTTGCATTTCTGAAAACTTACCAACTGGTAAGAACAATGGGAAAATAAAACGTTCATATATTACAATTCTCCAACATCAACAACCAAAAAATTTCACTAAGAATTGCTTCTAGTACAGTGTAAAACTATCCCCCTATAAAAGCCAATTGATAGTAATGTTGCCAAGCCATGTGAACAATGGGAACTGAACCAAAGCAATAAAGAGCAAGAGATAGTGGTGTTTGCTTGAGTCATAACTCCTGACCTCAGCAAAAAGAACTCTCTTCATTGTTTTCACCAAGAAGACTCCCATGCATAAACAGGTCCATGGCATCAGAAAGTAGTAGGAGTAACCCAATATTATTCTTCCAAGAACAGCTAAACATATGCCAGTGAAAGTATACCCAGCATACGCAATAATGTCCAGAAGGGGTGCTTCCCCACTGCCCAATGAAAGTAGAGTCACCTTAAGAAGTGCAGCTTGCATAAACCAACCAAGCAATCCCTTGATGAATAACAAGTTCAAAGCTTCTGGACTAAACCTGTACATAAGTATAGCATCTTAATAAGCCAAGTCCATTACAAGCTGGGGGGTGGGGAATACTCAAAAATAACTACCACAAAGAGCATATAGTTAGCAATCTTTGTAACATCTAAGAAGCTCAAAAGTTCCTCTGGCTTCCAATAAAGTTCTTACAGCTTTTCAGTTGGAAATAGAACATAAAAACATGTCTCAAAAAATTAAAACTGAAAAACTTGTGCATCCGATACAAAAACCAAAAAGGAAAAAACTAAAAAAGGGAAGCAGAAACAAATGCATATCAAACAGATGCCAAACTTCTTGCAACAAAGATGCTAACATTCAACAATGCTGATAGAGTACAATGCATTTTATTCCACCCGGCAGGTGCCAATTTGTAGTACCCTGCCCATTAAACACAAATCATACAATCCTCTTAACATAATGATTTACAACATTCATCACAGTCCAATTAAAACTCAGTTAAAACTTGAGAAAAAAGGAGGATAACAGTTTTCTCTATACTCTTCTAAAATATCCTCATATGACGATAGCATATAGTTGTCAACATCGTTATTTTATACCCTAGGCAGTTCAAGGGCACAAGAATGAACAGGATGGTGGGCAACATATCTAATTATAAATTTGAGAAGAATAAGGTAGAGGAAGAAGGGGAGTACTTACTTTCCATGAAGACCCAATGAGAGGCCAGCTAAAATGACATATGTACCAAATGCCATTAGTGGAATGTATAGGTCTGGTGCGTTTATGTCATAAATTGGTGGCTTATAAGAGAGCCTACCCCCGACTGGCTCAGTTATTCTAGTCCAATGACCCTGAATCAGAAAAGAAGAAATATGCAGCATGAAGAAAAGATAATATAACCAAATGAAAATATAAGGAGAAATGCAGAAAATTGCACCATTACTGCTTACCCTGTGCAGGAATGGAAACAAAACCACCTTCAATTTGTTCTTGACGTAATGGTCATTCACTTGGAAGTAGTATTGAGGATCAGAGAAATACCGACTTATCTGTTATTCAACGGCGAAGATTAATTTAAAGAAGAAAATCTTGCATTAACATTTTGAGAGACTATCAATACTTGAGATACACATAGATTGCAAATGAAGGTATGAAGAGTCATTATATTCCCATATTTTCTTACCTTTTTGTACTTATTTTAATTAGTATTTTGGGTTTAACTATCTGTAATTAGTGAATTTTTATTAATTGGATTTCATTAGGCCAGTAATTCAGATTTTAATTAATTTGAATCTATTTGATCTAATTTTTGCTCATTATTATTTTCAAGATAGTTTAAATCAATTTTGGACTTGGAAGATTGGGCCAAATGTCATGTCAGTTGTCCATTAGGATTAGGGATTTTGTTTTATTTGTTTTTGATGTGTTTTGTGGGCCAGTTGGACCCAAACCTAGATTAAGATTAGGATTTAGGGTTATTTATGTTAGTGATCACGTAGGGTTCAAGGAGGCACATCACACGGAGACGCGCATCATGGAGCCGCATCCTCAGAATGTCAATTTTGTCTTCTGTATTTTGTATTCAAGTTTGTTTACTCTTTTGTCATTATTTTAAATTCTTGTTTCGATTTTAATTCTCTTCTTCTACGTTTTCGATTTTCCATGGATAGCTAAATCTTTGTATTGATTTTCTGAGGAGAATGCAGTAGATCTTTGAGACACATCACAAGGATGCACATCCTCGGAACACCAATTTCGTCTTCTGAATTTTGTATTCAAGTTTGTTTACTCTTCTGTCATTATTTTTAATTCTTGTTTCGATTTTAATTATGTCTCTTCTTCTGCGTTTTCGATTTTTCATGGATAGCTAAATCTTTATTAATTTTCTGAGGAGAATGGAGTAGATCTTTGAAGTCTTGTTCTTCTATTCCGTTTGTTCTCTTAACTCTTCATCTCATAATCTCAGTGTTGAATTATAATTTGTTTATGCTTAATAAACCGAAACCTATATCACAGTTTGCTTAATTCTGTGTCAGAGATGAGATTATGTGATGTATGCAATGCTTAATTGTATAAGGATAATCTGAGATAATCTTCGCTTTGTTGATTAATTTCGGGTTGGAATAAGGGTTAAAACAATTTAATTTCGTAACCTAGGATAAGTGACTCTTCGAATAAGGAAATCAATTGTTTTCTCATTGTTTTATTTAAATTCTATTTTCGTTAATTTACTATTTATTATTATGCAAACCCCTTTTCTTTTTAAATTTAATTATTGCACTATTTTATTCTAAAGCAATTCTTAATTCTTGAAATTTTAATTAAAAGCACTTTATTTTAATTTTATAAATTTCGAGTTATTTAAATTCTGCATCAATTTAATTTTTTTCACTTTTTCATTCATACTTTATTTACTTGTTTTAGAGAGAATGATATATGGTAATGAGTACGTTCCTATGATTGTGTCCTTGTGAAATTCGATACGGTTAACTATACTGCATTAGTTTAGCAACTTGTTTATTATTTTTTATCAGTATTTTGTGCGACCGAAATGTTGTTATCAAGGTCCACTAAGCCATTTAATGACATTTTTCAACCATATTAATGTCCCATCCGAAGTCAGTCAGGTCTAAATTGATTGATATATAGTCATGATCAAAGGTGAGAACACATGTCATCTATGAACTAGATTTTAAAGTAAACCATGGATCATTTTCAAACTTTCTTCAAAAAGATTGATAGAAAACTCCAAACACTAAAATGCAAAGTTATGCCCACAACAACAGTTTCTGAAAATGAATAGATCAGTTTTGCTAAGGGGTTACCACACTTTTCTGAATTATGAGACATATATTAAGCATGAGAAAGATACTGAAAAACAAAACAATTTAAACTTCAATGTACATATGAAAATTGATAACCACATACTAAAGTTGATCCTCCAAGTTTACAAAAGACAAGTTGGCCTTCCAAAGATTTAGGAAATCAACATACGCTTTCATATCTATATAGACATGAATATAAGCATTCAATTTATCTTTGAACATCAATTTAGACCCTACATGCTACTTTTACATCATGAACTATGAAGAACAAAATTGACAAGCAAAAAAATTTAGAGGAACAACTTCATGTCTCATGTATCATGTATCATTAGCAAAAATTCTACAAAGTTACTTAGTCTTACATTGCTTTGGACATACTCAGAGCTCGATCCTAATATTTTCCCTCCATAAGCACCCAATCCGCCTCGAATGAGCCCTGAACCAGCAACATTAAACGCACTCCCGAAAGGATTTGGCGGCAAGGTCGTTTGAGGCTGCGGTACCCCGGGTTGGGATCCAACATTACTGTACATTCTCACTGTCAACACAAAACAAAAAACACAGCGAATTAGAAAAAACTTCAATGTGCATATAAAACCAATACCAACATAACATAATACACGACTAAGCAAACCCTCTTCACACGAAAACCTGCCATTCCCAAATGCAACGCGAGATCCATTTCAGACACAGATTGCCACAGCATAATACATAAAAGAAGACAATTAACAAATAACTATCATCAAACACACCATATGTTTGAGAGAAAGTGTGTACTAAGCATGAAGGTAGAAACCCCATATTTCACCAAATTTTATATACTAGTAATTTCAACAGAAATTTTCATTTAATAATGATTGAAAACGCAATCAGCAACGCGAAACCACGCCAAAATAATTGTAGATTCAAAATCCATATTGAAAAAGGGCAACGAAATTCGTAGTGGTATGCAAATTTTAAAACGATCCGGTAAGCAACAGAAGGAAAAACATCAAGCTTTAAACCCCAGAGGGAGACAAAAGGGGCAGAAGCGATTATGGTGATAGACAAAAATGAACAGATTTTGAATAAGTAGTATCGATTAATATGAAAAAGTGGAATTAAAAATCTGTGAAGAAGTTTGAAGAATAAGAAGAAGCAACCTCAAAAAGAAGAGAAAATTGGCCAGACGAATCACGGTGGTGGAGGAAATAAGAATGATGGCGCCGGCGAAGGAGGTGAGTGAGATCTGAGAACAGAGGAAGAACCCACAGCAGAGGCAAAAACGGTAATCAGAAAGACCTTTCCTCTTTTATAAAATGGAAAATACGTGTTAATCGTCTTTATTTAATAAAAAATTAATTTTGTATTTTTATTTTTATTTTTACAATTTGGTCTTTTTAACTGTCCAAAAGCACAATTTTTTTTAAAAGTTAGTTTTTAAGAAATGGTGTTGATTTAATTTTGTTATCATATGATTACTTAAGACACTTCCCAATATTAATCTAAAATAGATCAACAACACCATCCTCAACATTCATCTTATTTTAGAGAACGTGTTTTATTTCTATTTTATTTAATTATTTATTGTTCACTCATTGACATAAAAAGTTGAATTTTTTTTTATCTTAAATTTTTTTCAACATTTACTATTTTTATATGTTTAATAAATCATTTGATCATTTTATTTTATAAATCATTGTCATTATTTTCATATGACAATTAAATATTTATATATTTTTTTCAATCACGTTACACTCTATAGTTCTCCTAATTTCAAATTCTGTTACCATCAATGGGTAAGAATATCTTTCTACAGTAAGAATTATTAAACAAGGAAAAGAACAAAACTTATAAAAATCATAGTTTTTAAGTAGCATCTAAATACAAACATAAATCAAATTATATTTTTTTCTAATGTAATTATAAAACCAAAAAATCCTACTTGTGAACCACCTACAGAAGTTCGAACCCCAAACATTATTGTCTAACAAAGTTACGAAATGTTGAGTAGCTACTTTATGTATTTCAACTAACTAAATGCATTTTAGTTCAATCAACCCTACTTTTTGAAGTTACGAAATAGCCTCATCAAGACACATTTTTAATTCAAATCTTCTAAGTCCTAACACTGATCTGATAATGATATAAATAAATGGAGTATAAACTCTATTGAAAATAGGGTTGGTTCAGAATATAATTTATACTGAAGCAAAGAAAACATAACTCATATTTAATGGTGAAAGCGTAGAAAGCTGCTGTTTTAAAAAAAACCTATGCAGCATTGTTTCCGGCAACTTTAGAAAACACTACCAGAGGCTATTATAGCTTCTTGGATTGTAGATAATTACATAAATTATAGGAAAAGTTTTGTACAAATATAAGATGACATAGGATTCTTGTATGTATTTGCTCCTAATGCATGATATTATTAAAGTAGGGGAAAAGCTGATTTGGAAAGTTAAGATAAGAACCACTACTAGTCGTCACAGTCCACTAAATTCTTGAAGCTTCACTAAATCCAGTGCCATAACCTTTTTCTTTATGGTAATCCTACTGATGCTACTTTCAATATACATTGCAAATTCATTATAATTGTAGAAGTCCACAATGGACAATAGAAACCAACTACTTGAGCCTATATCTGACTAATAATTCTCAAACATTTTCAATTTAAAATGCAGAAAATTTTGGTGAAAATAACAGTTGCATTTTCACAATACTGTTTCTTTTTGCATGCCTAAGGGGGGAAAAAAAGAAAAAGAAAAAGAAGGTGGACAATAAATGAAAGTAAAAGAAGCATTCTTTTTTCCACTTTAATTATCTTTAATCTTTACCAATTAAAACATGTAGTAGCAGAAATATTAATGAAGTATAGTAGTGCCAAATTTTTTCTAGCTTAATGTGGTATATGAAAAGTACATGCACTCCACTTAATAATTGAAACGTTATCCATTCTTCAACTTTAATGTGTCTTCTCACTTCCATAGCTTCACTCATAAGGAATTGAAACTGATAAATTCCCCTTTGGGTTGTGATTATTAAACACTCGCATATTGAGAGAAAAGGTAAGGAAAAAGAAAGATGTATGTAACTAGGCCTTTGTCTATGTACAGAAGATGTCCAAGTACTCTATCAATACCACCACCAGATGGTCCATATTCAGGTTATCTTGTGATCACAGATGAGGAAGCAGAAGCAGAAGACATGAGTTGTTGGCGTCTATACAGGCGTAAGAAGGTTAAGAAGCTACCTTTCCCTCAGGACAAAATCTTCTCTATCACTCATGCATCAGAGTATCAACAAACTTCAAACACCAAGGTCTGGTTTCTCCCTGTGCCTGATCACCCTCTATCCTCCAATCGCTACTATGTCATCAGAGCCAAAGGCAGACACAAAGGGTATGTTTTTACTTTATTAGAGTGCATTATGCTTTTACTTTGTCTTTGTGGACTATGAAACAATAACTAATCTTGTGCCTAGAGGGTTTTTTCCCAGTCATCTGTGCTCACCATAATTAATGTTGATAAGTCTCAATTCTGAGTGTAATAATTATATATATATATATATATATATATCTGTGCTCACCATAATTAATGTTGATAAGTCTCAATTCTGAGTGTAATAATTATATATATATATATATATATATATATATATATATATATATATATATAAGATTGAATCTCACAATATATTAGACTCCATAACCTATCTCCGTGAATGCCTCTTTTGGTAGGAAAGTCTTGTGTCCTGGCTCAATTATTGAGGTGTAGCTTATATATATTTAGGCAACATAACTAATAATTTGAATCCATTTTAAGATGGAATCTAACAGATGCTATCATTATTTATATTTCCACCAGCTTTTCAATTAGTCATGCGCAAGCTGAGAAAGTCAGAACTATGGTCACTTCATTCATCTTACAGGAGTCTTGCACAACATTTACTTTCATGCAGTACAGCTTGAAAATATTCAGTCTTTCTTACAGGACTAAAATTATGACACTGAACATGTATATTTTTCTGTTCAAATTTTAGTTGTTTAGAACAAGAGAGAGAAGCCAAATTAAGAATGAAAGCTTTGCTCGTGCAATTTGAGTATTTGACTATGAATGAATTCAATTAGTCCCACTTGAACTTTACGGCCTTTTGTCAAACTTGGATGCAACCACAATGTTAGTCTATGTAAAATTTATTAGAAAAGTTTGTGCAGTGAACATTTGTAGGCTCAGATAACGTGCAGTTCAACAGTGAAGATTTTCATTGTCACAAATTGGAACTATTGTGTGATTTTGTAGGAAAGCATACAAGTGCTCGAGAGAGGGGGACATTGTCACATGTTGCTTCACTGACATGTTGAATGACCAAAGGCCAAAGCCTTTCAATCTGAAAGACTTGTACCAGATTTTCAAGATTCACAGTCACCAGAGTGGTGGTTTTTTTGCTAGGTCCATTACTCCTGATGGCATTCCCCCCTCATTCCTAAGGAAAAAAGGGTGGAGAATGAGAATCTCAGGCTCATACAGGTCTTGCAGACTAAGTGAAGCTCTAGGAGTTGATGCTCCTCTAAGGGAGAAGCTACCAGATTTCAACTTCCCCATCTCAAGAAAACGTTCACCTCCTTTGACTGTAGGAAAGTGGTACTGTCCATTCATATTTGTGAGGGATGGAACAAGAGTCAGACACCAAATGAAGAAGTGCATGTATTATAGCATGACTCTTGAGCAAAGGTGGGAAGAGGTCTTCACTTGTCGCAGTGAAGAGAGTGAAGGGGAAGATGGTGTTGTGGTTGTGGATGTGTGTGTGGAGAGAGAGGTGGCTATGGTTTCTGGCATGGAAGCCACAAGGATTAATGGAAACACTGATGCTGATGGTTTCTTTTGGTTTAGAGCATATGATCCTTACAGCAGGAGAAAAGCTAATGTGGGTTTGAGCTCAGCGATTGTTGAGCACATGAGATGGGTGCAGGAGGCTGGAGGATGGGCCTATGGTCATGGAAGAGAGAAGGTGGTGAGAGTGAGGGAAGAGGCAAGAAACCAGAGTGAATGGCTAAGGTTTGGATGCTATGTGTTGGTGGAAAGCTTTTGTTTGAGGACAATGGAAGGGAAGTTGGTGTTGAGATATGACTTTAGGCACACACACAAGATCAAATGCAAGTGGGAGTAAGCATCAACAATATACTTTAGTTCATATGGTACTTTATCAGAATTGTAGTTTAAATAAACATTTATTATATGGATTATATTGAGGTTAAAAAATCAATTATAATTGCAAAATAATATAAAAAGTATTTAAAAAACTATATCCAAGTTTTATTTAAAGAAATAAAACTATATTTTTTAATTTGAGATATCAATTTTTTTTTTAATTTAAGAAACCAAATGGATTTATTAAAAAATTCAACAATTAAAATACAAACTTAAGAAAATTTCCTACTAAGGAAAGTGATCTGACTTCAGTATCCATTACGATACTATCATTAAGTTCTTCAGTATCCATTACGATAATATCATTAAGTTCGAAGGTATTATTTATTTTGAAATTTTTGTTATGTGATGATTTTATCTTTAAAAGACGTTTTAGTAGATTGAGAAAGAAGAATGCATATAAACTACTTTTTACATCGACACCTAAATAATGTAGGACTCATGATCGTATTAGAACATATCTCTCAGTAGATGACTAAGGGTATAAGTGAAACAAAACTCTAATTTTAATTCAATAGTATAAATGTTAATGTTCGGAGTTTAAGAACGAAAGTCTTTGATCTTATATATAACATATATATTAACCATTAATTTTTACGTTAAAAATGTTATTTAAAACTCTATATATTATTATTGTTGTAATTTTTTCAATAATTAAATAATACTTTTTACTATTTAACTAATCAAGGATAAATTATCTTTAAAAATAAACACCATTTTATGTTGATTTTGAATATACTCATCACATTAAAAAAATTGAATTTGATATTTAAAAAATACTTGTTTAATTAATAAAATAATTAAATAATGATTATATTATTATTATATAATTTTGATTGAATTAGGTTAATTATGAGATTTAAATGTTACTATAAGATTATTGGTTCAAATGTCTAAAGTGAAAAAAAAATTTTTTTTTCATTTTATTTAGAATGTAATTAAAACTTATGATAGATTGTTTTTAGCACTTCTTTTAAAATTAATAATTACATAATGAGACTGATGAGTGCTTCTCTGTTAAATTAATAACTTTTCATTTGACGTAATTGATTTGAAATAATGAATTTAATTCTAAGAATATTATTTATAAATTTACGTTCTTAATTAATAGAATATGACCATTAATATATATATATATATATATATATATATATATATATATAAAATATGAGAAAATTAAGTTAAAACTAATGTAAGAAAATTACATTAAAATAGAGAAATATTTTATATGCTTCTAAAAATTCTCTCTTTCATAATAAGAAACTAAGGTAAGAAGATTAAAACGATAGGTATTTTTTTTATTATTTATTTACTTTTTATTTTATTTTTAATTAATTGATACATATAAATTTATTTTTTTAATTTTATGTTAAATTAAAAAAAATATATATATATATATATATATATAAAATAAATGGAGTAATTACGACAAAGTAAATAGACTCATTTATTTCTTATATAAAAAATTGGTACGATACCATCCTCATGAAGACCATAAAAGGTTCATAAAGTACTATTTATAACGACTTTTTATTTTTATATTATTTTATTAAAATTAAATTAAAATAAAATAAATAATAATCAATTATATTAGAATTATTATTAATTATAATAATAATAAAAAAATATATTATAAATTTAAGAATTATTAAAATATAATATATGATTTTTATTATAATTAATGATAATTATGATTTATATTATTAATATGATTATTAATAATATTAATATTTATAATTATATTATTTTATATTTAGTAATATTAATATTATTTTAGTATAAATAATAATATGAATAAAAATTATATAATAATAATTATTTTTAATAATAATATAAACTTAATTAACATTATTTATATTTATTTTATTATTAATAATATAAAAAATATTATTAATTAAAATAAAATAATAATAATTATTATTATAATATAAAATCTAGAAATAGATAATTCGACTTCTGTATATTTATATAAAACTAGTACTATTCACTTTAAAAAAAAATTGAAATTGAAGCAGGACTTTACTACTCTAAATCCCTAATTTTTTACCCATTTGAATAAATTGGTGAAAAAATTGCTTGGTGCAAAAACCAATATCACCAGTTTGCACAAGCTAACTCAGTTCCAGAGATACATTAAATAAGGTGGTACTGGGTGGGGGCAAAGTCAACGTCTTCATATTCTAACATCAACTACAGTTTTGTTTTCTTCTGTTTTTCTTTAATGATACAGTTATACTATAATAGACGTTTTTCCATGCGCTGAAGATCCCTACACAAAGGAAAAAAAATGATAGCTCCCTGTGTTTTACCTGTTCATCCATCTTCTACTCCTTCACCTTGCTTTCACTCTAAAGGTACTTTACTTCTTGTTTCCTAAGATAAAGTATTACTTTTGTGCAACCAGTTAAGCTTAACTTGCATTCCTCAAATTTTCAGCAGATATAGCTGAAGGGTTTTTTGCTAAACAACTGTTAAGATAATTAATTTAAAATAGACCACACTACACACAACTCGGATTTGCAGATTTAATTGTTAAATGGTATATAATCAATTGGGGATTTTGATTTTGTTTTAGCCTTTGATTACTGGTGTTACTATCCATAGTTTAGTGTATAAATTGATATTGCTTATGAATTGTTCTTCTGGTTATCATCTGCAGTTGGAAAGCAATGGTCTCAGAGATTTGCCTTGAGTGTAAGGCCAATGCAGCCTAAGAGGTTTTCAGGTGCCTGCAGAGTGAGATCAACTTTGGGTGATTCTGATAAATCAATTGGAATTCCCCGCCAGTGGTACAATGTAATTGCAGATCTTCCAATAAAACCACCTCCACCATTGCATCCTCAGACTTTTGAACCAATCAAACCAGATGACTTGTCACCCCTTTTTCCTGACGAGTTAATCAGACAAGAGATAACCAGTGACAGATTCATTGACATACCAGATGAAGTTCTTGATGTCTACAAGCTTTGGCGCCCAACCCCTCTCATTAGGTTTGATATCTATCATGTACATATTATAGCTTTTCCTTGGAGCTATGTGATTGGCTAAAAATTTTGAGAATCACGAAATTTTGTGGATCTCGCGTCTTATTTAATGAGTTTCACTTATGATTTTGTAGTTTCCAATAAATTTTAACTAACAGTAGAAAGTGTTGGAAAAAAGGTTTTTTATTAGTATGTTGCCAGCACTTTTCTTGAAGATATTGTCTAAGGATTATATACACTGATGAATTTAGAGCCAAGAGGCTGGAAAAGCTTCTTGATACCCCAGCTAGGATTTACTACAAGTATGAAGGAGTAAGCCCTGCAGGATCACACAAACCGAACTCTGCTGTGCCACAAGCCTGGTATAATTTACAAGAAGGTGTCAAGAATGTTGTGACAGAAACTGGTGCTGGACAGTGGGGAAGTGCATTGGCCTTTGCATGCAGCATATTTGGCCTTGGATGTGAGGTATGACCCTATCTATGGGTATTGGATTCACTAAGAACTCAACTAACTTAACTAATGCTCAATCAAAGATATCTTGATGTGTTATCTTGCATCTTTGTTTACAACTAACAAGAAAAATGTAATTGAAATTGCATACAACTAATTGTGCAACTGAAAGCAATTATCAATGGTAGTTTCTTTTTTACCACTTCTTCTGATCTTTTGTTTATCTATAACACTTTTGTCCGAGGCCAACAAAGTTAGCAGTAACTGAATGATTCTGAGGGAAGTAATGGAATTGGGCACATCATTTTATTCTAGCTCAGGTTATGAAACTGTGATGTTTAGTTAAATGGTTTATATATATAGGTGTGGCAAGTACGCGCTTCTTATGATTCAAAACCTTATCGGAGGTTGATGATGCAAACATGGGGTGCAAAAGTACACCCTTCTCCGTCTATGATCACTGAGGCAGGTCAGAGAATGCTTCAAGCGGATCCATCAAGCCCAGGAAGTTTAGGCATAGCCATATCAGAAGCTGTGGAGGTTGCTGCTAAAAATGATGATACCAAGTACTGCTTGGGGAGTGTACTCAACCATGTTTTACTCCACCAGAGTGTTATAGGAGAAGAGTGCATCAAACAAATGGAAGCTATTGATGAAACCCCAGATGTCATTATAGGATGTACTGGTGGTGGCTCCAACTTTGCAGGACTAAGTTTTCCATTCCTTAGAGAGAAGCTGAAGAAGAAAATAAATCCTGTTATTAGAGCAGTTGAACCTTCAGCATGCCCTTCATTAACAAAGGGGGTGTATACATATGATTATGGTGATACAGCAGGGATGACTCCATTGATGAAAATGCACACACTTGGACACGACTTTGTTCCAGATCCAATTCATGCTGGTAAATTTTTGTTACGCCGATAGAGTTTGTCATCATAGAATTTCATTTTTTGGAAATGAGGTAACTTGTGTTGGTTTAGTCCTTGAAAATATGTGTCTATGCATTATAGCCCTAGAATTTCTCAACACAACATATCAGTTCAAATTAATCAACTTCATGCCAATTTAGTGCACGAATCTATGAATTTTTAAGACAAGTTTAGTTCCCAACTTGGTTCAACTTCATGAAAGAAGGATTAATTTGCAAAATGTTGACAAATTCAAGGACTAATTGTATAAACAAACTTCCAAGGAGAAAATCAACATAGATTTCCATTTTGGGTACGATGTTGCATATTTACTACCACATGTATTAGTGTGTCCTTGTATTAACATTTTTGCTTATTTGTAGGGGGGTTGCGTTACCACGGTATGGCACCTTTGATCTCCCATGTTTTTGACTTGGGTTTAATGGAAGCAATTGCACTACCACAAACAGAATGTTTTCAAGGTAACTCTCATTTTCCTGCCATTGGAAGGAACCAAAATGCCAGTTTAGACAGAAATTATAATGTTAAACTATTATCTTGGTCCATGAAGTCGTTTTCATTTGAAATTTTAGTCCTTAAAAGTTAAACTGTACTTTTTAGTTCCTATACAGTTGTTGGTAGAGGTTTATAATGGTCAGAAACTTTTCTAGCAGTTTTACACAACAACAATTGTTTGGACAGGCTCTAATACAATTTTAGAATTTGAATTACATCAACCCGGAAAAACCAACTTATAAGATAAGGGTTATCTCTGACTTATGTTGATTTGGTTATATTTCTATAAATAAGATCTACCACAATACCTATATAAGATTATATAGGATGAAATTGTGTCTTTTTGGTTACAGGTGCTATACAGTTTGCCAGGACAGAAGGGTTGATACCAGCTCCTGAACCAACTCATGCCATAGCTGCAACCATTAGGGAAGCTATTCGTTGCAGGGAAACAGGAGAGGCCAAGGTTATTCTGACAGCAATGTGTGGACATGGTCATTTTGACCTGCCAGCTTATGAAAAATATTTGCAAGGTAACATGGTTGACCTCTCATTCTCAGAGGACAAGGTGAAGGCTTCACTAGCCAAAATTCCTCAAGTGATTCCTTGAGTTGAGGCTCATTCTAGTATGTTCGTTGAAGTTATGGTAGTATGGTCTCTGAACACAATTATGTATCTGAGTTTGTTTCAGTGCCTGTAAGGTTCTACATTAGGGAACATTTAATCATGTCAAGGAAGCAACAAATAGTACTTTTTTGCATTTTCAACATGTCAAACACACTTAATGGTTAGAATAAACTCATAATTTAAAGCAGGGTACTTTTGGATTATGCCTTTATCCATGTATACTTAAGAATGGACTATAATGAGAATTTAAGTATGAGTTAAAATTTGTTATTAAATAAATATGAAAAAATTGAATAAGTTAGATAAACACTTACAACTTAATATCTTAAGGTTGTTTATTTAAGATAGTATCATATGTTTTTATATGTTTGCCTCGTTCCATTGGGGAACATAGAATCAATGTTAATCCTCTTCGAAAAATTCAAATAATGGTATTAGAATTATTGAAAATACCTAATGTTACATAATAGTTTTATAAATTTAGGACTTATTTAATTTAATTTTATTTTTTTAAAATAACTATTAATTTTGCAAAAATATTTTTGAAAATAAGTTAAAAAAACTTATTTAATAATTTTATTTTGTATAAAAATTTAAAAATAATTTTAATAAATAATGAGTATTCAATGCAATTATTATATAAAAATCTTAATATCTATTACACAAACATATTTTTATTTTTTTTTTAAAATTAAAAATTATTTTTAAAGACAGTAAAAAAAAATAAACCCCTAATTTATTTATTTATGGGTTTTAAAAGGAATTTTTATTTATTTTAACAAATTTTAGGTGAATAGATTTTAATTAAATACATTTTATATTATCAAATATTGTAACAAGTTTATAAATTAAAAAAAAAAATCTAAAAAGAAAGTCATTCATTCTATACACCAAACTTTTCTCATAGAGTAGTATGATTCACGTATCTACCCATACAAATTCAAATCATGTGATTCACAAGCTAAAACCAGCTCAATAATTTTGAAAATCATGAAATGATGTGTACTTTTTGTTCTTGATGACGTCTCTGGCTTTTCTTCGAGAGAGAAATCAAATCAAAATACTGTGTGTGACCTATTTGTGTTTGGTTGCTATCATTGATTAAAACATTGCATGTGAGGTGAAAAAGAGAGTGGTTATTCATGAGATCAATGTTCACTTTATCACGATATCACCAAACAAAAGATGGATTAAAATCAATAATATTTATAAAAAAATAAATAAAAATTAGTGATGCTATTTCATATGATATAAATTATATAAAAAAATTATTTTTAACATATAAACTCCGTATAAAAAGTTATATTCACCATGAAGAACTGATATTGAACGTGTTTTTCTATATTAATTATAATATAATTGATTAATAAAGTTATTTATAATATTTGTAAATATATTTTCTTATAAAATTCGTTATAACACTTTTATAATATTTTGTACTTTTATCTTTTCTCTTCCTTTACTCTTATCCTCTGTCTTACTCTTATCCTCTGTCTCATTATTTATTGCATTTTTGTGTTTTTTTATAGTGTAGTTCGTTAACCTCGTATTTTCCATGTGTCTTGGTCTTTTGTGGTGTTCATTCTTATGTTATTATTTTAGATTTTATTTTAGTTTCACCTTTTATTATTTCACCTTCTTTTATATTATCACTCGTTTATTTTAATTATTATTCAAATATTTATTTATAAATTATTAAAATTTTAAATTATATATTATTTAAAATTATTTTATAATGGTTTAGGATTATTGTATATATATGTTTGATAGTATTTATGTTTATTTTTTAACTGGTTTTTATTTACATGTGATAAATTTCATAAAATAACAAATATTTTATAAAATAAAAATTAACTTTTAATAAAAATCAATATTAATTCTTTTAACTTTTAAAAGATACATCTTTCAATGATAATTTAAAAACTATTATATATATATATATATATATATATATATATATTGTAATTAATGTGAAATATTGTGATTATAATAGTGATTATTAAAAAATGTGAAATTAGTAGAAAAAAGTATTTGATATTTCTAAATTAATTTTGATATTTTTCTTTTTATAAAGATGGAAGCAATTATTATAAAAAATATTTTATTTATAAAAAAAGTGTATTTGTTTAAATTTTTTTAGAAATAAAATAACTTATTTTTAGAATTTTTAACATGAGTAAACTTGTTTTAAAAAATAAAAGAAAAAAATATTTTACTTTTCTTTTCTAATAATTTGAGGTTGTTTTTCATGAGAAGGAAGTGTAGTATAATAGAGATGATTATATATATATACATATATATATATATATATATATAATTATTTATAAATAAAACGTCTTTTAACAAAATTTTTATTACATTTAGATTTTTAATAAGAAAATGATAAAACACAATAAAAACAAATTAGTTTAGTTAACCTTTCATCTTTCATCAATTTTACCCAATATTTTTTATCAATTCAATTAATTTTCTATTGATTGATCCATTTTTTAATCATAAAATGTATTATAATATTTAATTATAAACTAAATAATTTTATAAAATTAAATTGTATTCTATTTATTTATTACGAAATAACTTATATTTTTATTATATTTCTCATCTAGTTACTTCTTACTTTCATTTTTTCCTATGAAACACAATGTTACTTTCTAACCTGAACACTTTGTAATAAAATAAGTTAACAAATTAAATAAATTAATCCAGATATGCAATTAATATTTTTTTGAAAAAAAATACACATAATTTGAAAAAAATACACTATGATGAATTAAATGAATAGAAATAAGTAAAGCAAATAAACATTAAATAAATTATATCTCATTTTGATTTTCGATTTTATTGAGCTCTTATTTTATTTATTTTTCTTTTGTTATTTTGATTTGGGGATTGGGAATAAAAAATTTCAATTTCTATCTATACTGTGGAAAGATGTGCATATAATTCCCAAAACGCACCGCATTGGAGTATACCTGTCACGTGACAGAATTTCAAAAAGAGAGGGTGACATGTGAGACTCCCGATTTGAACTAAAAACAAAACAAATCACAACAAAATCCGAAACCACTCTCACTGACTCTTGTTCCTCTGTTCCTGTTCTTCTCTCTGAGTAGAAAAAAAGAAAAAAGAAAAAAAAAATTGAACCTTGCCGAAGTGAATCATGGAAGGGATACTAGTGGATTGCGTACAGAAGAGTCTTCGCCATTTCATGCACTCCAACGCCATCTTCATCTCGCAGCGTCTCTGTGCTCAGTTTCCTTCTGAGGTGTTGTTTGGCTTCCTTTCCTCTTTTTCAACACTCGCACTGAACTCTTATTTACTTATTTATAAATTCTTGTTTGGTTTCTCATAAAAGTGTAGAAAACTATACAGAAGAAAAGAAGTAGTTGCTAAAAGCCACTAGTACGAGGAACTTCAATTTTTTTTTTTTCTTACTTCGTGTTGTCTTTGCCACTAGATTGCTGACTTTGGTTTGGTATAGTCATCTGTATGACTTGATTTGTCTTAGGAGAGATTTGGATTTGGGTTTTGCTTTAATTTTGTTGCGTTGTGATTGAATTGAGGTTTGGAGTTTTCTTTGAGTGTTTCTAGGTTTCTTTAGAGTGATTGCTAGGTTTCTTTAGAGTGATAATCAGTGGATGGTGATTTCTACGGATTCACAATTTGGAGTTAATTTGTGCCCTAACACTGGTAGCGATATTGGTAGTTAAAAGAGCTCTTTTACTGAAAATATAGTTTTTTTAGTAAAGAAGCTCTCAAAAGGTTTTCTAGCCTTGTATCCAAAATAGGCTCTTGGCCTAGTTCTAAAAATTTAGTGCTAACTTTTGTTTATGTAAGAGAATACACTTGCAGGAGACTCCTAAAGTTTGGTATGCACTTAGGAGTTCATTAAGCTCTAATGTGTGACTTAGATTGGTGATGCCTATAGCAAGTGTGTGGTTCCTGCCATTTTGGGTTAGTGTCAATTGTGTCTTTGCAAGATTCATGTCAAGGTTCTAGAGACTGTTATACTGGGCCCCAAAGTCCAGGGATCATGATTTTTTCATGTGTTTCTAGCATTTTCCTTTTACTAGGTTTGTGGGAAGGTTCTGGAGAACATTGTACTGGGCCCCCAAGGCCTGGGCTCATGAATTATTCATGTCCTTCTAGCATTTTCCTATTAGCAATTCACAAAGATTTTATCAACCGTGACATCGTAATGGTTTTGCAAGTATAGATCAGCTGTGAGACCAAGAAGGATGGCCCAATTGACTGCTGCCTCAGACAATCATCAGCTAGACTTGGTTAGTTGGCCAATAGAAGTAGTCGGGTGGTCCACAGCCCCTCAAGTGCTAAGCCTAAGAGCTTTAAGTGTTTTGTTTAGTTGGATGGTCCAACTTTCAATGGTTGCTTTTATGACATGAAGCTATCTTTTCAGAGTTTTTAGGCTTAAGTCTAGGGCTATATTGTGTTCTATTCTGTTGATAAGGAAACTGTGTTACCCTGGACGTAACACAACCTGTTGATAATTATTTTCATTTACAACAAATGTGAATCATGCAGATCTGTGGAAAGAAAATGTTCATATTTAAGATTCACTATTTTGGTTTGTTATTATCAATTTAGTATTGTTATACATGTTGGTGTAGAGTTTTTCTGAATTTATATGTAATAATGTATCCTCCTTGTCTGTTGTACTTGTACCTAAGGTATATATGCTTGGTATGTGCCTCTGATACTTGTATTGGAATATGCCTAATCAACATTTTTGTACCCTTATAACATTGTTAATTATTCATTGTTCGTGAAATTTTTTTGCACCCTTTATTTGGCTATTTATCAAGTCCATATCCCTTGCCAAAGGGCATCATTTAAACTTTCTTAGTCAGTGTTTGATAATTGTGTTTGTTTTTGTGCAGACAAATTTGCAATTGCTAGCTGGCTGTTATTTGCAGGGCAATCAAGCTTATTGTGCATATCATATCTTAAAGGGTATTTTTTTCCCTTATGTAGTTATTTATCTCTAGGTCAACTTGTACCTATGTCCTATTATTTTAGATATCACCCTTGCTTTCTTCCCATTAGATTAGCCCTTCATAGAATGTTTTATTTCCTTTACTTGCTATTATTTTGTAATGGTGCTTCTTATGATGTTTCTTGACTTGTTATTTTTCTTATTTATTACTTGAAGGCTCCCAAATGGCTCAGTCTCGGTACTTGTTTGCGTTATCTTGCTTTCGTATGGATCTTCTTGGTGAAGCTGAAGCAGCGTTATGTCCTATTAATGACCCTAGTGCAGAGGTATAAAACACAATTTAGAATGCATTATGGTTATCTCTTAATTATTAAATTATAAAAATATATAGGTGGCCATATTTTATTCCCCAAACAATTTTAAATTTGTTATCATTCATATTCTGCAAATAATGATCCTCTCCCATACCTTCTCATTGCAAGAAGCCTTCTGGCACCGGCGTACATTAGTTTTTTGTTATCATTGTTATTCTGCCGTACTTCTAGTCTAGTTTGCTGTCGTTGATTCATTTATCACATAAGTTCTGACATATCCCTTCTATTTCAAGTTTATTTTTATTATAGTTTGTTGGTGCATTTTGTAGAAGGTGAATGATTTTGTTAATTTGTTTTTCTTACTATGTAGGTTCCAAATGGTGCAGCTGGGCATTATCTATTAGGGCTCATTTACAGGTTGCTGAACTGTCTTCGCATCAATGTTGCCCTCTCTTACTGGTTATCTAATATTTAAAATATCTTATATTTGAAATATGAATGTCTTTTGAATTTTTTTTTGTTTCCTATCTTGACCTTTTTTTGTTATTTATAAATATGTAATGGATTTTGATTTTTCATTTTTTTTTAAATTTTTTAGCATTTATATGTATATAATATTAATATATGCATAAATGTAAATTATTTTATTTGTATATTAAAATTATTAAATTAGTCATCACAACATGTGCTATACCTTTTTAGTCTTTTTTGGGTTCGTTGCTATGCACTGCAGCTGCTGCTTTCTTAGATTTGATAACTATCTTATTTGCGAAGGATGGACAACTCCAAAAAGATTCTATCAAGTATTGGAGAATACATTGACTCATAAAGTAGACAACAAGGGTGATTTCAACCCTTGAATTTTATAACCAGCTCTCTTAAAAATATTTTTTGCTAAGCAGCGGATGCTTAAAAACTATTTGGATTGATATTGCTCAAGAATTTCACTTAGGATTTTATAACATTTAGATAATGTCACTTTTCTCTTTTAGCACATCCCTTTGTCAAATCTCTTGCATGTTCACATCACAGCCTTGGTTGTCATTTGATGGTTGACTCCCATTAAGTATTTGGTATGTTTAATGAATATTTGGTCCTCTGTGACTGGTTTCCACTGTCTTTAAATGGCCGTCTTAGCTTTAACTTCTAATTTAGTTCATGCTATTTTCAAATCTATATTCCCTTTAATATTTTTTCTTCCTTTTCAGATGCACTGACAGAAAGAAAAGTGCCATACAACATTTCAAGTGGGCACTGTCAATGGATCCTCTGATGTGGGCCGCATATGAGGAGTTGTGTATATTAGGTAAAGTGAGATGATAGCTCTTGATTCCCGATGACTGAATATACTTGATGAAGCAACTGGTGAAACTTAGTTGTTTAAGTTGATGCTTGCTAAGTTGTTAAGTGTGTCTTTCCCATTTCCATGAGGTTATTTTTAGCTTTGATAAAATGAGAAAGTTGCTAAAGCAAAGCAAACATTTGAAACTGTATGGTATGGTAATGATGCATTTGTTGTTTATACATTTTGTTTTGGTAATGGAGCATCAAGCATAGTTTATTGTCATGTTTTTAATGTGATAGATGAAAAAACTCAACAGTAATGAGCTCTATAATTTTGTTTTTTTTGTTCTACAGTGCTTATGACTTTACTAAATACTGAATCTGTCATGTGACTCAATAGAAAGCATACATATTTCCAGGAAACCGATGCAAAATTTGATTGGTGTAACTAAATGACTGTTTTCTAATGTAAATCTTACATTATTATTTTCTTATTCTCTCATTCATCATTATTATCATTACACTGTTTTCTAGGTGCTGCTGAAGAAGCAACTGTAGTTTTTGGTGAAGCAGCAGCTATTTTGATACAAAAGCAGTACCTGAATTGTTCAACCTCTCCAAACCCTCACATGTCACCTGAAGATAGCAATGAAGTTGCTCCTATACCTTGTATGTCTGAAGAGGGGAGTCCAAGGCTGCTCAAACAAATGCAAGGTCTCAAAGATCTTGGTGCATATCATCATGGATCATCTATATTAGGAGGAGCTACTGGTCAACCTATTAATAGTGGTTCATCTAACATGTCATTTTATAACACCCCCTCTCCAATGGTTGCACAGGTGATTGTAGTTTTGTATTGTGTATGCCTATTAATGTCCATTAAAAGTTTGTGAGAAGCTGCCCTATATCTCCAAATATGGATAAAGCCATCCTGTTTTTGCAGTTGTCAAGTATTGCTCCGCCACCACTGTGTAGGAACATGATGCCAAATTGCCAAAATCTTACTACACTTAATGTTGACAATTCTCCTAAGTCAATAGTGAACTCTCCTATTCAAGCCCCTCGAAGAAAGTTTGTGGGTGAAGGAAAGTTACGAAAGGTTCGTACTGTTGTTCAACCTATATTTGCATCAATACTAGATAAAAATGCCAACTGTCTGGGATTTTCTCCATAATCTTGAGTAAACCATGGAAGTATTGGGTAGATTTTATTTTATATTTTTTCTTGTTTTGGCAGTAGTGATATGAATTTATACAGATTGTTGACGTCATAACTCATTTTTAATCCAAGCATTTAGCTGGCTGAGCCTTTTATCATGGGAATGTCATTTTTTTCTATTAACATTATTTGGCATCAATTTTGTTTCTCTCTAACAATGGTGCTATAGGTATCTGAATTTGCCTTTTTAATTCATGTTACTAATTACCATTGGTTTTCATTTATATGGTTGCAATATTGTTACTCAATTTTCTGAATTCCATCAAAATTTAGCTTAGCTATAGTTCTTTTGCATCTGTTCTCTGTGTATTTCTATTTGGTGCTATGCATTGTAAGATAAGAAGTTGAATGTATTTTCCATATTGTGATGTGTGAATTAATGGACCATTTTTTCTGTTGAGTAACTTGTGTTTTGAATGACTGTGATAATATGTACTCTGGGTTAAATGCTTGACTTTTCCAGACTATATGATATTATATTCTCTCATTTTTCACTATTACCTTTTTCCTTTACTAAATATATATATTGTTACAGATTTCAGGTAGATTATTTTCTGATTCTGGTCCTCGACGTAGTTCAAGACTCTCTGGTGGTGAAAATGTAAAGGCAAATGCTAATTCAACTGTTGTATCTGGAAGTGGAAATAATAACTCTTATAAGGGAGGTTCAAAGCTAAACCATATGGCATTTCGTTCCATGGCAATTCGTAAAGGGCAGTCATGGGCCAATGAAAACATTAATGAAGGTGATGAATGTTTATATATCTCACAACTCTATTGTTTAAGCTTATTCTTTTATATCAAAATGTTTCACTTCACAAATAGTTGAGCTGAAATTTTTGTGAAGTCATTCACTTGTACAAGTTGCATCCCAGCTGCCGATGTTGATTTCTTGTCAATTTCTTAGCCTTTCGAAAGATTTCAGAAGGAAAGTTCAACTATTTGTGAACTCCTTCAATGTCTATTTATTTAAATTGGTGAGCCAAATAGAAATACTAATCCATTGCTAGGTGTCAACATAATATGCTAACTACTATATTAATTAGAACGTTTGCATGTCCATTTATGATTATGCTTAATTCATTTACTTTCTTAAGGTGATTATTGCCTAAAAGTTTCCTTGTTTCAAATACATTATGATTTTCTTTTCTTTAATTTTAGGGATTCGTAGCGATCTTCCAGATTATTCTTCGTTAAATAATACTTCTACAAATTCTTGTTCATCTCCTGTCGTTGAAGCCAAAACATATGAGCAAGAAGCAGCCGCTTTTCAAATTGGCAGGCAAATAACATTTGGTTCTAAGGTCATCACTGGCATTTCAGAAATATTAACCCTTCTAAGAGTTCTTGGTGAAGGCTATAGACTTTCCTGTCAATATAGGAGCCAGGTAATTGATTAAATATTTATGGGGAAAATCCATAATATTTAGGTTATTATTTTTTAGGGATTTAAAATTGGAAATAAAATGAGGAAAATACCTTGTTCCAAGTTGGATTTGTTTCTTAATATCTGTTTGTGATAGAGCAGGATGCCCTGGATACCTATCTGAAACTTCCTCAGAAGCATTACAACACTGGCTGGGTTCTTTCTCAGGTAATTTTAGTAGCTCGACGTGTCTGGTATTTGTCGTACTTAATGATAAACATTAATTTAGATATATACTGCATTCAGTCTTATTTTGTTTTATTCCAATATTTTGTCTGGTGCAAATAAATTTTGTTCTGTTGTACTTAAGTTTTTCCCACTTCATTGGAAGGATATCTTATCTGCCCTAGTTACACTTCTCCACTTTCCTCAATAAAAAGAATAGTAATTTTCTGTGTATGAAGTCTTGTCTAAGTTCCTAGCCTCAAATCAAAATTAATCTCAATATCCATTTCATAACTCTTTTGCTACACATGTGACCTAAGATGTCAAGAAAATAAAACTTTGTCAACTTTGGATGAGACTATAAATACAGAAATTAAAACAAATAACAAGAAGAACTTCGTTGAATTAAATTTCAGAGCCTAAATTAAATCTTAGCACAGAGGTTTAGCTTCCTTGTGCGTCATTCAGGCTTCAAGCCTGGAAGAATCTTGAGTGAGGGTTATTGTATATAAATTGTTACTAAGTTTCCTCCACCTGATAGATGACGATAGGTTAATCTTTTTGGAGGGTTGGTCATGGACAATAAGATAGTGGGTAGGAGAGAACAAGCATAGGTAAAACTATGAACTATAAAGCAAACAACAATTTGGTGTTGTTTATATAGGCCAGACACATGTCTGACATGGACACTTGACACAATTTGATCTCCAGTGTCTTCTTACGAAGGGGCTTACAAATATAGTATCAAGATATAGTAAACTTTTGATATATATATATATATATATATATATATATATATATATATATATATATATATATATATATATGTCACACCACATATATAACACTAACTCACACTAACAGCCTTGTCCTCAAGGCTAGAATGAGAAAAACTATCACTTCCAGCTTAGTGTTTGGATTTGGTTTCGTCAATTCAACTCCTTTGAAATCTCCTTCTTACTTGAGCATGTTTTAATGCAGGTTGGGAAAGCGTACTTTGAGCTAGTTGATTATTCGGAAGCTGATCGTGCCTTTAGTCTTGCTCGACAGATTACACCTTATAGTTTGGAAGGAATGGATATACACTCGACAGTCCTTTATGTGAGTTGACATATATTTTCTTTGTTAAAGGCAAACCATTTTTTCTTGCATTTTGATTTGCACATTTGATCCATTCAACTAGTAAAGTCTATTGACATGAAGATACTAAATCAACAATGTATTGATACCCTTGTTCTGGGTTTCTATGCTAATGTTATACCTAGAATGTGGGGCACCTGGAATATCCTTGTATTTCTTTAGCTTCTTCCTCCCACTTGAAGTTTAAAATTTTTAAATGATTACTTGGATATTTGCCTGACGAACTAACTTATATCTGGGACAGCATTTAAAGGAAGACATGAAGCTAAGTTACCTGGCGCAGGAACTGATTTCAACTGATCGCCTAGCTCCTGAATCTTGGTAGTGTTACATTGAGCTTTGTTGTAATTTTTTCAACTCATTTTTCTTCGTAGGCCATTTTTATGTACTACTCTCTTTCCAGATGGCTTAAAACTGCTTCATTTTCCATGTGTTGTCATGTGTGGGTGTGCATATGTACACATCCACTGTGAGCCAAACTGTAATCATTTTTGTATATTTTTGTTTTCTATAGCTATTTGGTTGTGAGAGTTGAAAGCCCCCCCTCCTCCTCCTGTATTTGGCTGTTCTGTTGTAATTATTATATCACTTATCCTGGTTTATCTTTTGTATTGAATAATGTGGCAGGTGTGCCATAGGTAATTGCTACAGCCTGCAGAAAGATCATGAAACTGCACTGAAGAGCTTTCAACGAGCTGTTCAACTGAATCCCAGATTTGCATATGCACACACCCTTTGTGGACATGAGTATGACCATTAATCTTTCATTATGATACACGTGTCCAAACATGTTTTCACAACATTCACTGTTCTTTGCAGGTATGTTGCACTAGAAGATTTTGAAAATGGGACTAAATGCTACCAGAGTGCACTCATGGTTGATTCAAGGCACTATAAGGCATGGTATGGACTTGGAATGCTATATCTTCGCCAAGAGAAGCTTGAGTTCTCTGAACATCATTTCCGTATGGCCTTCCAAATCAACCCACGGTCTTCTGTTATACTGTCATACCTTGGAACTGCTTTGCATGCTTTAAAGGTTAATAATCTCTTGCCACACTAGTTATAGTAGTACAAACTACGATTGCATTTATCTTTTCCTTTTGTTTCTGTATCCAGTATTCTGAAATTATGCTTCTGTGATTTGACAGAGAAGCTGGGAAGCATTGGCCATAATGGAGAAAGCAATCTTAGCAGATAAGAAAAATCCACTGCCCATGTATCAAAAGGCCAACATACTCATAAGCTTAGAAAAATTTGACGAAGCTTTGGATGTCCTAGAAGAGCTGAAAGAGTGTGCTCCTCGTGAAAGTAGTGTCTATGCTTTGATGGGCAATATCTATAGAAGGCGTAACATGCATGAGAAAGCAATGTTTCATTATGGTGTTGCTTTGGATTTGAAACCATCTGCAATAGATGCTGCAACCATTAAGGTGAGATTTCCTTATAACAAGTTACGACAATCCTTTTGCTCTGTACACATTAACAATTTTACAAATAACTGATCTTTCTGCTCTACGATTGGTTTGCTGAATATTTAATTAATTTGTATAGTAATTGACCAATTTAGTTCCTGAAATTGTATTTCACCATTATATTAGTCTATGAAGAAACTAAGAAAAACTCATTTAAGTCTCTACAATATTTAGGGTTTCATTTAAGTCTCTAAAATTAATCTTTTTGACATTTTGGTCCCTAGTCCAGAGACATAATAGTATCTTCAGGGACTAAAACGGAGATAAGAGTTAGGGACTAAAAATAACATTTTTTAGAGAACAATTTTCTAAAAATAAGTTGAAATTTTTGTTTGTTTGATAACTCTAGTTTGAACATTATTTTAGATAGAAGTTGATGTTACTGACGGTTATCAAGCATTAAAGTGAAAGTTGAAAAACGATTTTGATAATTTCGTGATAATGAAGACACTATATACTGTAATTATTGGTTAAGGTATGAATACCATCACTGAAAATAAAAAAACTAACAGAAAATATTTTTTATTAGTTTTAGTTATTTAGGTTTTACAAATTAAAAACAAAAATACTTTTTAAAAACTGATTTAATAAAACAGTTACCAATCAAATTTTAATTTTTAAAATCTAAAAAACTGAATTATTTTTGAAAACAATAAACAAACATGTCCTTAATTTTAGAAACACTCAAATCTCATAGACTAATATAACAGTGCGATACAATTTCACGAGCTAAGTTTTGATCATTTTTGTATGACAATAGTAGTACATGTTGGAAGGAACTTATGGTTTGTTTTCATTATTCTTTTTGAAACAGGCTGCTGTTGAGAAGTTGCATATACCAGATGAGTTCGAAGACTATTTGTAGCTCTACCTTTGAAGTGCAAGATACAAGGATTTGCTTTGGGTTTGTTGTGTATAGAAGCAACACACATGCTTGAGTATTCATCCAAACAATCATCATTCCATCTAATTTTCGGAACTTTAGAACTGTATACAGTTTTGTAGGAAAGTCGAATAGGATTAGAGATATGATGTATGAAAGTTGCGGAGAAGCCTATACTTGTACAAATAGTTGCATTAGGGAAAAATAGATGCACCATTACTTTATCCATCCATTTGTTTATAAACCAACGTTTATCAGCTCTGGTTTAAATCATTACAAGCGTCAAATGTCTCATCTTGAATTCATTTTATGATGGGAAATGCTAATAACACGTTTTTGACTGGTGAAAATTATAGCATTATTAGTGGATATTTCTGAATAAGGAGTCAAACTGATATAATTGTGTTTAAAAAACTTTTGTTAATTAGTATGTGTTATTAACTTGTTAGAATTTATGTTGGGTTTTTTTATAAATTTTTACGTCTTTATATTACTAAGTTAAATATTTAAAATATTTTTTTTTATAATTTTACTTTTTATCTTAATTTCTTTTATTTATATACAATTTCTATACTTTTATTCTTTAGAACCTCTTTTCACTATTTAATTTTTTTTGTTATTATTTTTATTAAAGATCTTTGTTAACAATTAAAAGTAAGTAACATATTCTTGTATTTATATTTTTTAAATAGATTCAAATTGTTTGATCTAAAATAGTACTGTGAAAATGAAATTGAATTCTAGAAAAGTTAATTGGAAAATGTATTTTGAATGGAGTGTTTTTAAATCAGTTTTTATAAAGAATAATTTGAAAATATATTATGAATTGGATATTATGAAAAAATCTTTTTCAAAATATATTTTAGATGGGTATTCTGAAAAAGCTTTCTAGAAATGCGATTGGATGTTCTGGACGTAAAAATTAATCTATAATGTATTTTAAAAATGAAGATGGAGAAAAAGATAAAATGGGGTTTAATATAATTATGGGGTGCAGGAGAAATCGTGAAGGGTGGAGGAAGCAGCCTTTATGGTTCAGCACTTGGATACCTTCATTGATCATATCAATAAAAGGTCCAACCAAGTTTCCGCTTGGTGTAACGTGGAGGCAATAGATCATGAAAAACATGATTTTAGGAGTCATTTACAACACAGATTTCAAAAATTTTAAATTTCCATGTGATATAAATTTTTACTTATACATTTCATGAAAAGTTAAATTATTATTTAATATATGCTAGGATGTATAATATAATATAAACATGTTATTCTTTAAAAAAAATCCTAAAATTAATTATTTTTACTCAAATCTATAAAAGAGAAATATTAATTGTTTAGATTAAAATGAACTTCTAAAAGTAAATAATGATATCAAATGAAGTAATAAAATCAGAGAAAAATATTTTATAGAAAATAAGATATACACATTTATAAAAAAAATAAAAATAAAATTTACGGAGAATTAAATTTCAAATAAAAAAATTATATTTTTTGGAGAATAGAATTAAGATATATATATTTATATAAAATAAAAATAAAAACATATTTAATCCAACTAATAAAATCTCCTCAATCGGGTTTTGAATTTCATTTCGAAAAATGAATTTGCATTTACCGCCAAAACGTTCTCCGTCATCGTCACTCTGAAGAGAAGTGTCATGGAAGCAGAACAACACTTTCATCTTCCTCGTCAATCTTGCGGTCTCTCTCTCACTCTCTCTGAATTTCGATTCGATTCGATTCGGAATGTTTTACTTCACCAAGAAAATAGTGCAACTTTCTGCCTTTTTATTTTTTTTTCTCATCACTAATATAGTTGAATCATTCCGAGGATAACCTTCGTGCTAGGGTTTCGTTCAACGTGATTTCTGCTAGTTCTACTTTCGCTTTTGCTTTTGATTCTGATTTTATTCCATTTATTTATTTATTGAACTTGAGTCACAGGTTCTCCGGTTCAAGGCATGGAAAACGTGGTGGCAACGGTTAGCGGTTACCACGGCTCCGAGCGGTTCGATCTCATCAAGCTGATTTCACTTGCCGGCGCCAATTACGTTGGCGCAATGTCGAAATCGATAACGCATCTGGTAAGTTCTTTTTCTTTTTTATTTTATTTTTTATAGTTTGTATGTGAGACAGAATGATAGAGAGCACGATTGGGGGAGTTAAAGAGAAAGCTTAACAGAGAAGGAGCTTAATTGCAAGAGAGATAACATAATTGGAAGAAAGAGAGGGAGATAGATAGAAAAAGATTAGAGAATTAGGTTTCATGGTGGATTTTGATAATGCATCTGTTGAGCTATGTGTGTGTGAGAGAGAGAATTTTGGTGTGCACCGTTGAAGTCAACAATTCATCTGGAGAGTTTTGTGTGAGTGAGACCGTAATTCGGTGGAGAATTTTTGGTGCGCAATGTTGAAATTGGTAATTCATCTTGTGTGTGTGTGTGAGAGAGTGAGTGAGTGAAAGAGCTTAATTCGATGGTGGATTTAGATTCTGTCCTGGTTTGTATGTTAGTAGGTATGTTCTGTTTCTGTGTGGTGAAAGGGAAACAAACGTGAGGGAGAGTTTAGACGGAAGAAGAGAGTTAGTGAATGATAGAACAGGTTATTGCAAGCTTTCATTGACGAACTGTTTGATGGTTGTTTGTTTTGTGATTGTTCAGGTGTGTTGGAAATTTGAAGGAAAGAAATATGATATTGCGCTGAAGTTTAGAATTCCTGTAGTGAACCACCAATGGATCGAGGACTGCGTAAAGGAAGGAAGGCGTGTTCCAGAAGATTCTTACACCTTGCGAAGGTTAATTTGACTTCTTTCCCTTCCTTACTGAAGAACTATAACGGAGTATAATAGATTTTACAGAGTTATAGCTTTCTGAAAGCAAACGCATGGTGTGGTTGTGTTTTAGTCCGCATCCAATGTCATCATCATGCTCTAGGAATTAGAATTGGGCGTTGAAAAAGCATAATTTGATTTGACGAGTTTTGCTTTGAATTGTGTTATTGCTTAAATTGAAAGTTACTGCGATACTGAAAGGAAGTTACGTTGACGTTTAACAAGGCATGAGTGCTGTGTTACAACTTTTGGGAAAGTTGGTTATTAGCAGTTTCGATGAGCTATCTTCTATATATTGTGTTATATGATGGGCGTCTTTGTTGTGGACTCAGGAGTTTGCTTCTAGTTTCTCAAGTTTGGCATCATCGATCTTATTAACTGGTAGCTGACTATTTGGTTTGAAAATATTGGGTTCATTTGTTGGTTATATAGGAGTTTATGTTATCGGTTATTCTCCTATAATCTGAAATGGATTAAAATCTAGGGAGTATTTGTTCTTAAGTTCACTTATTATCATTATCATTTTCAGTGGAAATGAAGTAGGGCGATTGTTGCTGGAAGTTCCCCTCACTGTTCGAGTCAGTAGCTTGACAAAGAAAAAATTGGTCAGTGACAAGTTACATGATACTGGGTCTGAAAGGCAAAAAACCAACTTTGGTCCTGGAACCTCGAGAACTTATGTTTTGGAAGATTCTTGTTTAATGAAAAAGGTAAAATAGGCTCTTGACTCTCCGTTCTCCTCTTGGACGTTTTCAATCTTTATGATGCACATTTTAAGTGTTTGAAGCCAGCATTATCATCTACAAACTTAAATAATATGTCTGCTTGCTTTATGCTAAATATGTTGTTTTTCCTCCACAAAATGCTCAATTACAGAAAAAGATTTGTCATCAGTCACTATGCAACGGGTATGGACATTATAGATTACTTTTAGCCTGACAGATATTTCAAAAAATGTAGCAATCTAAACTAACTGATTGCCTGAATGAGCTTTTTTTGTGTATCTCTTAATTTTATTTTTTCATTGCTGGTGCTTTACAAAGTACTTGCATATGCTCTTGCGTATAGAATTATGGTTAAATGTATTGAATGTGTATTTTAAGTAAAATTATAAATGAAAGTGAATGTTGTTTCAAGCATATCCATCATCAGGCTATGTAATCATTGATTGTGTTATACTATTCGTTATTATGGAATTCTCGTTAATTTCTTTTCTTTTCTCTATATTTCATATTTTTAAGCATGATGAGTCAAGTTCAAATTCGTCTAGATTGTCAAGGAAAGGAAAAAGGAATATTTGCAATGGTAAGGGAGTCAATATTGTGGCTGGACCTTCTCGTAAAGAAAGAAGACTTGCGAGAAATCTTGTTGATGAAGTCGTGTTGGCTCCTTCAGATTTGGATTTAAGCCCAGATGACAGCATATTTAGAAAGGATAGACTACAAGCAGACGCTCAAGCTACCTCTAGCCTTTCTGGTGGTGTTAATAATAACATTATTGTACAAAATAGTGAAGAATCAAATGCTGGGTTAAGTAATCAAAGTAGATCTATCGATGGTGGTTCAGATGATATTGAACAGATCAACGATTCAAGGCATTTATCTACTCCTAGAAATTCAACTTTGTTTAAAGAAGATGCCCTACCTATGCCACAAACAACAATAGATATATGTTCCAGTGATGATGAAAAATCCACAGATTGTGATCAGGTTGATAATGGTGCTGACTTACCTACTTCAACAGAGATGTCATGTGTTATATGTTTCACAGATTTCAGCTCAACACGAGGGATTCTGCCGTGTGGACATCGATTTTGTTTTCCATGTATCCAGAGTTGGGTTGATCATAGGGTATGCCTTTTCTTTTATTTACTTTTTAACGAATAAAAGCCTATTAATTGATAATTATAATCTCATTAGCATGCCATTCCCTTTCGATTAGATTTCAAAGTTGGTCTCTAGTTTTTAATTTAACTTTCGTTGAACTTTGGCTTTTTCTCATTGAGAATTTGAGGCTCCACCTCATTGTTGTGTTTTCTTATTGCAAATCTTATGAAAGTATATTTATGATTTTGTCCGGTCTGTGTTACTGATGCACTCCTATTTACTTGATGGTGATTCCAAACTGCCCTCTTTAAAGATTTGGATGGATTACGTCAACCTTGGTTGTCCTGTACATTGCCTTACTATTAATGTCATTTGGATGTTTCTTTCATTCTTATATTTGTTTTTCAATATTTATAGACTTCAATGAGAAAAATATCAACCTGCCCTTTGTGCAAGGCAAGTTTTGTGATGATTAAGAAAGTCGAGCATGCAGCCACCGCTGATCAAAAAGTATACTCCCAGACAATCCCATGTGACAATTCAGCCTCAGATATTTTTATCCCCATGGATCAAGAATTACCGTATAATATCTTTGAGGTATGCTTATTCATTAAACTATATTAGTTGTTGTCACTATTGGATGTTATTTTCATTTTTTGTTCATGTAAGTTGAAATCACATAAAGGACGAGCCTTTACTAAATGATAGATAGCTAACATGTGACCTAGATGTCATGGGTTCAAATTCTAAAAAAATCTTTCTGCCTGTGGTGGGGTTAAGGGTGTGTACATCTACCTGGAGTTATTTGGAGTAATTTGTGCTTAAAACTATTCTAGATTATTTAAAAAAAATAAAGATGAGAAGTGGCCGTACATAGGTAAAAAGTTTGGAATAAGTGGTTGCTACATTGGAGTTTATATAGTAACAGTTTGCCTTATTTACATTTCATACAATCTTGACATCTTTAAAAATATTGAGTGGTATTCACTGAGCCTGTCACAGATTCTACTGGATTTTAATGGCACTCATATGCTCTTTGCTTAGCTTGGACGGTTCATATATAACTGGCAGTTTAATTGGTTGTGTTACAACCATATATTGAAAGTGAGAAAGGTCTTTATTCGGCTGAAAGAAAAATAATAACACGTGCTGGCATCTTTTGTTTTACTAGGAAAGTAGTAATGCTTTATGTGTGGCCTTTCCCCCCTCCTCCCAACATTTTGATCATTTCGATAGATTTGCCTTGCTTGTTAAGGGTTCATCTTTGTATAACAAACCAACATTCTCACCGTCAACCTTATGATATCCATGATTTTGTAATATTGGATTTCTATTTGTCCTTTATTTTGCAGGCTATGATTCCCATGAATCCATGATTCTTAAAATGTCATGTTGATTAGAATGTTCTCTATACTATAATGCACCACCTATAAGAACCTAGAAGAAAATATATCTGAAATGACTTAATGAGTTGCTTTTATTTGTGAGTTACCATTTTTATGATAATTTCTTCAAAATAAAACTGTTAGAATGGGAATACACTTTCGAACACCCATTTTTTAATCACAAATTTTGATTGCATCGCACAATTATTTAATAGTAACTTTTGTGATTTTGTGCACTCCGTTTTTTCCCTAAATATTCCCTTTTGTTGCTGGATTGTACTTTTCATGTGGAAGGAAAACATTCATAGCACTTGTTACTGTTAAATTTCGAGGCTATTAAAAAAAAAAACACCTTTTTGATTGCTCAAACGAAGAAAAAAAATATTTTCTAATTTGTAGATCGAGTCCAAAATTAATAAGTAATTCTGCAAAGAATTATTGGCATGTTGCTGTAGTAGGGCATTATATATATTAGATTAGGTTGCTTCCTATATTTTCTTAAAACTTTTGTACTGTTGATAACATGTTCGTATAATTCATTATTGTCCATATTTTCACTGGAAGTTTATACATATTTTAATATAATTGTGTCACTTTGTCGTTTGTCTTCGGCTTTTACAGTCTGTACAGGCAGGAGCTTGTGTAATTTGCCGTGGTCGGGAACCAGAGGATCTCCTTGAGAGTTGTGATATTTGCCGAGTTCGAAAGATCCATTCATATTGCATGGACCCTCCTCTACGGCCATGGACATGCAATCATTGCAAGGAACTTCGGATGCTTTATCGTAGTAATCACTCGTATTAGTGTGCATCTTTTATCCAGTGCAACTCGGATTCGCAAGTATGTTCATCTGATAAAATTCATTGTAACTTTGCCGAGCTTGCCAATCTTAAGCGAAACTGTTGTTAGTTGCATTTTTAACTGAATTAATTTTCAACAATAGAACTAGAAAATGCAACTTTCTATTGGGAAGCAATGCCCCCTTAAGTCAACATGTGACATAGTTCTCATTGGATACATTTTTTCTTCCAGAACTTTAGAGAGAAAAAGAAAATAATGTTACTGTGACTTGATTGGTGGATTATATTGCCTTTTAAGCACGTGATTTAGAGTTTGATTCTTCGTCTCTTTATATTTCTATGTATATGGAAAAAAATTTATTGAGGACGATCAATCTTTAAAATGAATATCAGTTTTTGATATATTAATCTTTAATTTTAAAATTAAAATAATTTCTTTATATTATAAAATTAGTTAACGCATATGTCAAATTATCTTTCAGAAAAATTAATGAGAACTTTAATAATTTAGTTTATGCATAAAGTACTGTTAATATATGACTTTTTTATTCATTTTTTTGCTATTGTACTGGTTTGGGACAGCATAAATTCAAGATTTCAGTTTCTTTTTTCCCATAAACAAAGCTGTTCGTAAAACAAGCTGTGTTTTGGGCAATAATTTTAATGTGTTTTTATTTATTTATTTATTTAAAAATAAGGTGATTTTTGCATCTGAAACTTTGTAACTTATAATTATTTTTAATAGGGTTTTCCAGCTTCATATATACACCTTTTTTAGTGTAAAAGTTGATTTTTTTTTCTTCAAACAAAATAAAATATGCAGTACCTTTTAATAAACTTTTTCAAACAAAAAAAATGATTTTGATTATCATTTATTATTGGATTAATCTATTATACTACTAATGAATTATTAAAACAATATGATTTTCAGTAGTTTAAAACACATATTAAGTATTTATTGATAAATTAACTTAAATGGAAAATTTTATTACAAGTATAGATAGATAGATGACAGTTATTTTAAATCTTTTTAGACATTTGTTTAATTTAAAACAACGTGTTTTAAGAGGTCAAACAAATTTGATTTGATTTGGACCCCTTTCAGTGCAATCAGAAAACATGACATAAGTGGAAAGAGTTCCACCGAATTCAATCTGGGACTCTGATAATTATGTCCATCTGCAAATTAAACAAGAACAAGACATACATGTTTATTGTTTATTGTCATGTGTATTGCACAGTAATTATGATAACTATCAAAGTATATCAAATGTGTTTTCAAAAATGTCTTAAAACCGTGGTAAACGCCGCTACACTAATGATTTAAGATGCTAGATATTTATTGTACATATTCAAGCCAAATTTTAAATCTTGCAGAGGTTAAGGAGCGTATCATAATCCACATAAAGCCAGCATAAATAACCCTTTTAATGTAAGTACTTTATTTTAGTTATTTCTTGTGCATTATTATGAATTGAGAGCAATCTGGGTATTGTGATGGAATTGAATTGAGAAGATTCATTGTATCAAGGGTCGTTTGTCGAACTTTTGTTTCAAAATCCCTAATGGCTACCTGGGCCCCTCCACTCTCTGAAAGCAACATTAATGTGTTTCGTTTGCTCTCCTGTCCTATTCAACCAACACAAATGATATTTCAAAATAAGCGACACATGCCTTTAAACTTCATTTAATTTATTTATAATTTAAAATTTATTAAAAATCACATAATTTAACAGGCCCTACTCTTCATTAACAATTTTATATTTTTTAGTAAATTCTTTTTAAGAGATGAGCGTTAGAAAATGTCTTGTTACTATTATTCATTATATTTATATAAAGGAAAAAAGTACTCCCCAACTCAATTCATTTTTGAATCATTTGAAATTTATGCTTCTGATATGAGTGGTTTTGGGTGGATATTAGATATAGATAACCATTCTGTATATTCTTTCTGCTGTTTCTCTATCGATGTGTTTATGTCTTTGATTGTGTTTGGTTTCAAATGTGCATCGTTTTTGTCGCTTTGAAGTTCTTGGTGTGGCCCTACGAGAGAGAAAGAAGAGGACAGAATCTAGGATGATCCCTTCTGTCTTTGGCATTGTCTCGAGTCTCTGGAATGATCATGTTAGGGTTATTAACTCCTTTTCACATTCTTACAATTTTTGTTTTTTCATATCTTCATTTTTAAACTATCTAATTCCTCTTGAAAATTTTGGTTTATAATTTCTAATGACATTTTAAAAAATGTACGATGATGAGGAAGTTTAAATTAAGGTAAATAATAATAATAATAATGTTTGGTGGACCATCTATAAAGCTGCTGCCACACATTGGAAGTCACAAAAAAAGTGTTTGACGTAATTTTTTTAAGATTGACAGACTTTTTTTATTTTAAAAAAATTACTTTGAATTTTAATATTAAAAAGTTTAATTTTTATAGATTGGGAGTATGAAAATTTGTAAAATGAAATATTGTGATAAATATAAAATTTTAAACATTTATTATAACCCATTGATAAATACTATGCATGGCAAAAGGAAGAATGAGATTGTTATGGGAAGCATTTAAGAAGATTAGAAAGAGTGGAGATGTGTAGGAATGAAGTGTGGTGGTGGGCACTTTGATGTTTCATTTTCATATGCAAACAATCAATGCATTTCGACCTTTTCTTTATCCTCTTTTCTCAACCCAACTTTTATACTTGTGTCTTTCTTGTTAGTGAGAATCAAGTTAAATTAAAAGTAATTTTTTTTTTATATATAAAATTCAAACACTATATGCAAAAGAGTCGTTTTTTATTCTTATGAGTTTTGTGCGATTTATATATGTATTTTAATTTATTAATCTTTTAAAAAAACTGTGATAGATTAAAATTTTAAAATAAAAATTACTTTAGACATGACATTACATCTAATGATGTTATTTTTAGATGAAACAAAATTTATATAATTAAAAATGTGAAACAAAGTGTATGAGAGTTTTTAATTATCATATCCATATTGTAAAATTGATTTTTTGGTATAATTGGCTTTCATGATGCATTAATATTGATTTATCTTTTTTAGGAATATATACTCTTTAATAGAGTTTTGTTCTAGTAAAATATATTTTATATTAGAAGTACACCAATGATGAGAAGCCATCCTAACTTTATTTGAATCTCTTCTTTAATAATGCTTCCTTTATAATTTAAAAAATTTATATTAACAGTTTTATAAATAATAAAAGTATTATTAAAAATTTTAATATTATCAAATTATGATTTTATTTACCATAAATTTAAAATTGTTAAATCAATTTATAAGTAATTATTTAAGTATTTATTAAGATTATAAAAATTAACTAAAATAAAATTTAATTACTTAATATTATTTTAAAATAAATTATATATTATTATTATTATTATTATTATTATTATTAAAACGACTTAAATACAAAATAAAAGGCATTTAGATTAACAATGTTTTAAAACATTAAATAAAGAACCGTGAATAAATATTAAGAATATATATATATATATATATATATATATATATTAAAAAGGTAAAAAAAAGAATTAGTAAAATAACTAATATTTAGATATATTTTCTAAATAATATTTAAATATTGAAGCTATTTTTTTAATCAATATTTAAGAAAAAAAGTAAAGAGTTGAGAGTGATTATTAAGAGAAAATGAATGAAAAAATATAATTTTTTTCTTGTATAGTAATAAAATAATAAATAAAGATGTATAAAACAATAAAAATTAAAAAATATTATTTTATAAAATTACGTTGAATAAATAATTATTTATATATATAGTTTTATTTTATTTATGTATATGGACTTTAATTATGATATTTTTGTAAAATGTGATCAATATAAAAATTAAATAAATAATTTAATATATTTTATATTATAATATAATTTTATTAATTCAAATTCAAATATTTTTATTAATATATATATATATATATAAATATATTATATAATTAAAAGTTATTTCATTTCTGACATTTACTTTTCTTCTTAATTATTATTTAAAATGAATGTGAAGTTAACAGGAAAGTAGTGATGTAGGTGTTACATATAAATGCAGTATTTCAGTTTTCCTACAAATGCAGTAATTTCGGTTTTTGGTCAAACTTATTTAATCTTCATCACATTCTTTATATCTACTTTTCTGTTATCATCTAATTTTCAATTATCAAAATTAACTAAATTTATATGATTAAACATAATGTTTTATATTTAAAAATGATAATAATTACATTAAATAAAATTTAAAGAGTTTAAATTTGTTTATATCTAAGTCTATTAAACATATTTTGTTCTAGTTAAATATGTTTTTGGTATATTTTTAATACTTAATTTTGATTTTTATATTTTAAAAATTCAGTAATTAGTTCATAGATTAAATTTTTATAACAATAAATTAAATATAAAACATATATTTTATAAATTTAGTCATTTTAAAACTTATGACAATAAAAATTAATACTAAATATTATTCAGGTATTAAAAAAATCAAAATTATATATTTTCAAAAGTTTAAAAATTTAAAATCATTGATTTGAAAATATAAATTCAAAATCAAAGACCAGAATAAAAACAGTAGAAATAATTGGACTCATGATAATTGTTTAGTAATTTTAAATATAAAATAATAAAACTTTAAATGAGTATTAACATTTTTATAATTAGATTTAAAAAACAGTTAATTCTGATCCAATTTTTTATATTTTGAATAAGATATTTTATAGTTTAACAGAAAAAAATTTTGAAAACTGATCCTGATGGTCAAAACCTTACAGCCAATATTTCTTTTTAAAGAAAATTAATAATAATAATAATATTAATAACCAATGAGACAAGGAAAAATAATAAATTTATTAAATTTAAAATTTTGTTTTTCATCTTCAGTTTTTTAAAAGATTAATCAATTTTCAACATATTCAAACCACAATAAGACCTGATTTAATTTTTTTAATAGCTGAACATGATAAATGTGTCATAATCAATCACTTTGAACTTTAACAATATATATATATATATAGAAGAGTTGTTTTCCTTAAAAAAGATGAAGAAAATTTTTTCCAGATTTTTTTTTTCTAAACTAGATTTTATCATTTCACCATATTTTTTTTTTTATCATTTTCCATTGTTATACGAGAAAATGACCTGAGAAAAACTCACATTCTTCCCAGGATATCTAAATTCCAGAAGTATGTTATATTCACTACAAGAAGCTTTGTATTTGGCAGAAGTGTTTGATTAGAAAAGAAGAAGAAGAAAAGTGTGTGAGAGAGAGCATGAACATAAAAAAAACAAAGATCTAAGTGAAACTACACATGTTGCATGAAACAAAGTTGAAGGGCAAAGAACATTGAAGAACTCAGAAATGTTTATGAGTACAGACTGAGAGAATCAGAAAGCACAAGTTTTGGACTTTGGTGAATCAGCCACTTTGAGGGTCTCTTCAATGAGTTTTCTGGCCTTCCTGCTCCTAATCTCCATTCTCATGCTCTCACTCTTCTCCACCTTATCATACTCACCCTTCTTCACAATCTTCAAACACCTTATCTTCGATTTCAAAGTCACCATCAACCTCCCCAACCCCATTGTTTCTTTCTCCTCCCTTCAACCCTTAACTTTGTTGATTCTGCTCATCAATGAGAAAAGAACTAAGTGAACCAAACCACAATAATGAATGAAGAGAAAGAGTGTTTATAAGTATGATAACGAGAAGAAGATGAAGAAGAAGAAGAAAAGGACATGTGAGAGAAGTACTCAAAAGGAAGAGGAACATTAAAACAAACCTTGTGAAGGAGTGATGTGTAAAAAGTTTTGACCCTTCTTTTGTTATAGAAAATGGAGAAAAAGGTTCTTTCTTTCTCTTTATTTATATATATATATATATATATATATATATATATATATATATATATATATATATATATATATATATATATATATATATATATATATATATATATAATGAATGGGTCCATAGAATGAAACTGTGGGTATATTTGGTTCCATTTAAGAAATTTCCCTCACAAAGTTTTAAGAAATTAAAGTTATAATAATGCGTTTTTTATTATTATTTTTTGGTCTAAATATTCTAAGATTTAAATATTATAAGCTTATGATAATGGTATATATATTTATCTGTATAAATGTTAATAATTTTTTTAATTCAATTTATTTTTCAAGTCATGTGAATAAAATTATTTGTTTTATTTATTTTTACAGTTCAACTAATTGTTGTGAATTTTGAACTTTTTTTCATTATTATCCTTTTATTATGTTAATGTTTGAGTAATTTAATTCGGTAATCCATTTTATTTATGTACCAACAAAATTCCTTTTAAATTATTTAAAAGATTATTTTTCCATTATTAAATTAGGAACAAAGAGGTATTATATTTTTACAATAGAAAATAAATAAAAGTGAGACAATGAATATTAAAGAGAAATGAGAGTGTATAATTAATAAGAAATGCAACTTTATATTTAATTAATTAGGTAATTTTCTATAATTAAGAAATTAAACATAATAATGATATATAGTTTATCATTGAAAAAAAATGTAAGAAAAAAGCTTTAAGACAAAAAAAAGTATTACAGTCATAATAGTTTTAGAAATTTTTGTTATAAACTAATTTGTTTGTTAATTTGAAAAAAAAAGTGAGAAAACTATTTTTTTGTTTACTTAAAAGAGTTTATGGAAAGTTTGTTTAAATAGGTTTTAAGTCTAATAAAAATATGTTTGAAAATGCTTCTAATAAGTATTTGTAGAAAAAAAGAAAACAATTATTTCTTTGTGTATAAATTAAAGTTAACTTATTATAAACAAACTTTTAGAAGCCTTCTTATATAATATTTCCAAATTTATATTTTGTAGCGTATGCAAAAATAAAATTTAGTTTATAGAAAAGTTCATTTCATTTCTTTTTTTAATTTTTCTCTTTATAAATACTTTACCGTAAACAAAAAACAAGTTAATAAATAAGATTTTACCAAAAACAATTAATTGTTTTACTTAAAATTAATATTAAAAAACGTAAATATTAATGATAAATTTTAATTATAATATTAATTCAAAAGTCCAAATATATGATACTAAATTTGAGTCTGAAGAAATGTTAGATGGATTTATTTATAAAGAAAGAAACAAAAAAATAAAACGAATTTTTTCATAAATTAATATTAACTTATGCATAACTTAAAAATAATTTTTTATTAAAATCATATGAGAACTCAAAAACTTAATTTTAACTTATTAATAAATTAATTTTAATATTTCCTTTTTTTCTCATATATATAACTCATCTAATTGCTATTTGAGACTAACTCGTTTAAGCTATAAATTCTATGGGCCTTATCGTAACTAGAACTAGCCCATATAAATGCAAGCATATACACATTTGGCCCATTTTTTTAATGCCCGTTGTTTATAACAAATAACATTTTAGAAACGAATTAATTAAGAATATGTTGAAAGAGAGTTTTTGTTTTTTTTTAATATCTATTTTGAAACCATTTAATACATGTAAAAAAATTATTCGTGTAAATTAAAAAAAAATCCTTTTTAGAATTTTAATGACAGTATCTCATTTGGATGAATTTTTTTATCATATACACTTATTTTAAAGAAGATTTTTGATCAAATGTAAAATAATATAATAGAATCTAACCTAATTTTTAATTCTTATAAAAGTTATGAGATGTGATTTTGAGGATAAATAATAATATCTAAAGTGTAAATTTTTTTTTCACGTAAATTAAAAGAGAAAAACAAATGGAATGTTACAATGTGAATGACATATACTATAAATCAAAATTATCAAATTTTCTATAAATGAAGCATATTTTTACTTGTAGATCTAACAGTTTCCATTTTCAACATTTCCAATAGAAAATCACTCCATGAATCAATTGGTCCTGGTAAGCACCAATGAACACAATCATTATACAGTGTCATATTCTCATTTGGCCAATATCCATATCTGTTGGGGTGACCATCTGGTCTCAATAACATTGCTTGTGTGGTGTCAAGTAACATGAACTTCAACCCTTTCTTCATTCCTTCTTTCTTGGCAACTTCAAATTCCTCTAATTGAATCTTATGTAACTCTAAATCATAGCCCTCTAACCTTGTTTCATTACTCCTAAATGGCTTAGTTCTCACACAATTTCCACCTTTATTCCACAACCCATTTTCAAAATGAGATGGTGAAAATGTTCTGAGAAATGTTGTGCCCTTAAAGCTTTCTAAACTAGTGATGGATGTAAATGTTGTCCTAAAAACCTTTCTATAGCCATGGTACAAGTTTGAGTGAGCCACATCTTCTAAGTCACAATATTGGCATCCAACTACTTTTTGCTTCTCATAAAAGACAATGGGTCCCAAAAACCATTGTCCTCCATTGATAATAACATAGTCAAACTCTTCAATGTGAGTTGTCCATGTTTCATCAAACTCATCAATGTAAACATTGAAGAGAACACTATTTGAATCCACTTTTTTAGCTCTAACTAAATGGGGTGTCCAATAATTTGCCATGGTGAAGTTGTAGCTTGAGTACTTCCATCGTTTGAAGGAAGAGTCATTTATGTTGGATACGTCTATGGGCCACTCCACCTACAAAGATAGAAAGACCAAGATTTCAAATTTACTTATCTAGACCACAAATGCAAGAAGGAAAAATGTGGTTTTCAGTTTTTAAATGGATTTAAAATTATTTTGATAGTTAAAATACATTAAAAAAAAATCAATAATGTTATTTGAAGAAAAAAAAATAGAAACTTATCAGAAAACAATGGAGAAAGAAAGAGTAATAATAATTGTAGAACCAGAGTTTTAGAATCTCAATCTTGAAAAAAGTACTAGAAGAGACTTACCCTTGATAGAAGACAAATCATAGACTGCATGTGATTTCTGGCTAAGGAGTCTCCAACAAAAGCCATAGATTTTCCCCTCATAATTTCTAGGAACTGAAAGGGGTTGAACATGGGGAGGTCACACTCATTTGGCTTCCACCTCCACTTCATGAACTGAGAATCAGGTCTCCCATGCTTCATGCAGTTTTGGTGCTCATGAATTGCCCAACATGTTGTGTTTGTGTAATACGGTGCCTCAGGATTTGGCACCCATTCCCCACTGAAAATGTCACACTTCTTCACAGATGTTGAGGGCAAGCTTTCTGGCTCCTTCACATCATCAAATGCAGTGGATGGAAGCTTATATTTATTGATCTTCAACAGTGGAGAGTAGATAAACAAAGAATAAGACAGTGTTGCGGTGACAGTAAATATAAGTAAGATTATGCATGTTAGAATAGTTACTTTTGATAATGTTTGTTTTGGGGTAATGTTCCCACAAACAAGCTCAAAATGTAGGAACTTCATGGTAAAAGAAGAAAAGAAGAGTGAGTGATAAAGAAGGAAGGAAATGTAAGGGAATGGAATCAGCTTTTTGCTAATATAATGTATGCAAAGTTTATCTCTGATTTGTTTTGGGTTCTGATTGAGTATAGCTTTCTTTACTTGAGATTCTGTACTTTTAGAGCCATCATTAAACATGAATATTGTATCATAAACACTCTGGCTCCTGTTTTGCTTCTACAGTTGCATGAATAATGGTCCATGTGCTTGCTTCATCATACCTTATGTACGTACAAAATCAATGGACCATCTTAACATTTTTTGACAGCTAAGATTGATGAAAGCTGCTGAAAACTACAAGAGGAGAGACGAGAAAGCTGCTTTTCTGGCCTATTATGATGGTAAGTTTCGTTATGTGATAAGGTCCTTGCTGTGTGGAATCCCTCCTCAAGAAAAGTTGTCACATCGTTTTATTTGTGTTGTTCAATCTGCAGACATAAGATATCTTGAGATATATGATTCATGCATGTTAGCTTCTCTTAAAGCAAAATTAATGTAATAATTCCATAGTGTTATGCTTAACGTTTTAAGTTTTAGTGAGAGTAATGTTTATATACATTTTTTTTAACTGGTTGACATTGTTTTTAAAAACAAAATTATAACGTACCACTCATAAATTCTAATAATATTATCAAAATAAACATAATGATAAAACACTCTCCTTCTCATTCGGTTTAAATAAAATATTAATACTTATTCTATAACAAATAAATACTCACATTTATTTATATCTATTGGTCCTCTTTTAAAAATTTTATTACGATATAATAATCTCCTTTTATTCATATACATTAGTATTCGATTAAAAAATTCATATTATATATATATTTTGTTAAATTATATAGAAGAATATTTTCCCAATAATATTATCCATAGATTCTTGATATTCAACAGCTGTTTTTTGTCCTATATTTGAAGGAAAAAGCAGATAAAAAAATAAAATAAATAATTTGAGGGCAGAGTGAAGGACAAATTGTGACCAATTGTTGGGTTCAGAGAGTGTTGGTTGTAAAAGGGGAAATAACATGGTGTATATGTTGACCAGAGTGAAACATATATATCACACTCCCTTATGTATTAAAAGTGTATGTAATGCATGATTAGTGTTTTTTAATGAAAACTATATTTTGTGTTAGCAGAATGTATATTTAGTAAATGTAAAATTTAGTCAT